GTCTGTAGCTGGGGTGTGTGGGGTCTTTGATGATGCTTAGAGCTTTCCTCAAGCACCGTCTGTCATAAATGTCATGGGACTCAACTGCTGAAGCCCAGTAATTAAAGCAGACTTTAATTTAAATACTTTTTTCAGTGGGAAATGAAAAATCAAAGAAAAACAGAAATCTGTCAGTATAGCAATGTCTTGGAAAGCCCACAGCTTAGATAGTGGTTATTGTTTATTCTGCACTGTCAGCATTCCTGCTGATTTCTGTAACCTAAAGGCCATTGTGAAAGCTGTGGAGGAGAAGTGAGCAATGCAGGGGGGTGTGCTCTTTATTTTTTCAGGAGGATTATTATTTATGATATGAACTGATTTTATTTACATAGATAGATACTTTATTGATCCCGTGAGGGAAATTGCAGAACATTACATGCATTTTATAATATAGCATTCTTGTGATCATTAAGTATTTTGAGGTTAGGTTAGGTTTCAGGTTCCCATGCTTATGATGCTTGAAAATCTATGATCATGAAGATTTATGGGAAGTCTCTGGGAGCAGAAGAATTTCTTCATCACAGTATCTCCTGCCCTCACTCCCACAGTAGGAGGAGCTGCTTCCAAATCAGCAGAGCCCAGACATCACAGAAGGGGGGGAGTTTCAACACTCAGTGACGTCAGAGGAGCAGGCTGCACAGCTCATCTTTACATCTAGGTGGCAGCAAATGTATAAAACATGTAAAAATAGATCAAACATAAGTTGCACTGAAACCTTTGACCACATATTTATTTACTTTCTCAGAATTTCCTGATAGTCTGGATCAGCTAAGGATTTGCAATGTGCTGATTTGGTTGTTCCTCACAGAAAATGAGACCACAGCTATGCGATACCTTTCCTACCCCACGACTGACGGCTAGCTTGTCCTCTGTCCTCCAGGTACTATATGCTGCCGCCCCCCTGTGGTGTGCCGGGGAACGACGGCGCGTGTGCAGAAGACCAGCAGGCGCGCGACACAGGAGGGGTGCCTCCCCTGCGGCCCATCCTCAAGAAGACAGCGGTACTGGGGCTCTGCGTGTTCTACGTGTTCTTTATTTCCATTATGGTGTTTCCGGCCGTCTCCTCGGGGATCCAGTCAGTGCACAAGGAGTCGGGCAGCCCCTGGACCAACGAGTACTTTGTGCCGCTCACCAGCTTTTTCCTGTACAACGCCGCGGATTTCTGCGGCCGGCAGGCGACGGCGTGGGTGCAGGTGCCGGGGCCGCGCAGCCGGCTGCTGCCCTCCCTGGTGCTGCTGCGCACCGCGCTCGTGCCGCTCTTCATGTTCTGCAACTACCAGCCGCGGGACCACCTCCAAACCGTGTTCTTCGCTCAGGACGTCTACCCCGTGGTCTTCATCTCGCTGCTGGGCCTGACCAACGGCTATCTGGGCACCCTGCCCATGATCTACGGCCCCAAAGTGGTGCGGCGCGACCTGGCGGAGGCAGCCGGGGTGGTCATGTCCTTCTTCTTGATGTTGGGCCTAGCGATCGGCTCGGCCTTCTCCATCCTCATCGTGCACAGCATCTGAACACTAGAGCCCCTTCGCTTTTAAAGACTGCGGACTGGTTCTCCCCATGTCTGCTCGTGTATTTTTACAGGTATATCTTTTAACCGGCCTTGTCCCCTGGGCTACACTCCACAGCCAGATGCTGCCCCGAGCGGGCAGTTTCAGAAGAAGCCTGCAATAACGCCTCAGAAGGAAGCCTGTCTCCCACTGTGCATGTTTGAGGGGTGCTCAAGACATACAGGGGGGCGGAAAGAAAAGACACTTTTTTTTTATCCATAACTGCCCCAAAAAAGAAACCGTGCATGACAAATATGGTGGATTTCTGAACATTTCTTAATTTTCATTCACATACTGCAAAGTAAACAATGCAATCTGGCACACGTGCAGCCTGCTAGCTTTGTTGCAGAGGACATCTCTAGAAACCATGCATTTATAACAGGAAGGTCTGCCTGTGGGTATGCTCCAACACCATGTGTCCCATTGTATCATATTGGCACTTAGTACGCTCCTGAGACATTGCAATGCCAATCATATCGGCCATAATAGTGTATGTTCAGGATGTCCACTGTAGTGACAATGGCATCTGACAGAGAGGTCAACGCCACCCATCTTTGTAATAACCTTCAGATGGCAGCTGCACCAGAACCCTGCCAAGCAATGGACTAATCCACCCGCGGTCAACAGCAGTCATAGGAATTGATCTTAAGACCTGGGTTTGACACTGGAGAGCAAGATGATATACAGTTATAAATAAGTGCCTTGATGATTGAGGTGTATACACTGTTTTGGGAATCTTGATTTATTATTAGGTTGTTTTATAGTATTTTATTCCTCAGCAATATGTTTCTCCGTGCACAGTTTATTTTTTGGTCTGTGTTTGAGGGGTGAAGGGGTTCATGCTTTTACCAGTAATTTCATATTCATTTTTAATTATTTGTTTTACATTTTTAAATATTAAAATATTACATGGGAACCTAGCATGTGCATCCTCATTCTCATTTAAACCATTTTGTTTTTGATTGCAGCTCTATAATTATAATAATCAGTATATATCTGATATGTATATATCAGTATATAATAATCAATATATCAATTTACCAGTGAAAAATTAATAAAATTAAAAATTAGCTCAATTAACTACTGTGTACCAAACAGGCAAGAGGGGGTAAAAAGCCTCTTTGGGTTATCAACCTTTCTTATGTTCTTATGCTGCTGTTGAGTTCTCCTCTCATGCCTGGGAGCCTGCCTTTTTCCAAGCCTCACCATAGTTCAGAGAAGCGATACGTACTGGGAGCTCGAATCTTGTCTGTGGATGAGCAGTGTGTACCCCACCGACACCCTGCCATGATGGTTTGAAGAAGGGCCATCCATGAAGAACTTCATACGAACAGTGAAATACCGTCTGTTGGATGAGCCTTCTCATCCTGTTTACTAAATCATTAAGTCAGCTTTGGTAGCACGCAGTAGCTCATTCTAGGGAGTGACCTGCCTGATTCCCCAGCCTGTTTCCATGTCTACCAAAGTGAATGGCAATGCTCTAAGTTCAGTTGGCCCGTCTTTCAGGTAATTGCATGCTGGAGTTTTTGAAATGCCTGTCCTGCCCGAAACCTTGAAAAATAGGGTGGCTTTACTCCTACTCCTTCCCTGCTGAAAGCTTCTTATACTGTATATTGATTTGTCTAGCTGAAGCTAAATGTAAAATCATATCCCCTTGTTCTGGTGTCTTTATAATCTTATTGACTATATGAGTTTGTCTATGCAATCAGAAATAGGAGTAAGTGTACATGCCAGGGTACGTAAGAAGAGCTGTCGTCGTCCCTCCCCCTGAAGCCGGTGTGTGCAGTACTGAGCTCAGCGCGATGAGATGACGGAGGGGGTGGTCCATATACATTACTCCATTGTACGCTCGCATAGTAGCGTGCAGGCAGGAGCTGGGTGCGGTTTTACCCAAGGACGGTTTTGGGAAGGAAGTCCAGTCAGCAAGACACGAGTCTAGGTCAGTAGACGACGTATACTGTATATGTATGCATAATATCCTAAATTGCAAAAGAGATAGTCACTTCGCCGTTAGACGAGCTGAATGTTCTCACCTGTTCTGTAATCGTTCTTGTGTTCTTAAATACCGAAATGTGCAGGTCAGGGTTATGGTTCTGTATCGATATTGCACAGCGATACGGGAAAAAACAATGTTCTTGCAGTCACATTTGTCTCCCTGTCATCCTTTAGCTGTTACGTTAGAAAAGCTCCTGTTCGATTCAGCCTGTGTTAACTACAGACTCGTGCCCGATGTAAAATACAAATGCATGTCTTAACATTTCTATTTTACGTTTGAGGTGTGCGCTATAATTTAATAATAATCATATTGTCCTTAGAATCCAAAAGGAATTAGGAGAAAAAAATGATGTTATAAAACAGTTTGTCGTAGCCTTATAGCGCACTGACTAGATGATGTTTAGATTTCACAACTGGCAGACTGGTTTTACTGTGCCAGTTAAAAACTTGTTTCCCATTTAACCCAGGCTAGCAGACCAATTCTCACTCTCTGGAATGTGAAAGGCTTTTGATCGTTTTGCGACTAGACAATATAAACATCTTTAAGGTGATTTTAAAATCTTTTAAATAGCATAACTACAGGTAGATGTATGCTTTTTACTGAGCATTGAAAACAGCTTTCACAGCTTAAACAAATTAACTGTTTTCTAGAATATATGTCTGTAGCAAGTGAACTCACATTTTGACAGGATGACATGAATTTTCCTATAATGAGTGAAATTTGTCATCAACGGGGTTAATCAGCAGATGATCTACTATGAGTTCACAGGTTAGTAGAGTGTTGGAATCAGCCTATGAAAGGGCTGCAGGTGAGGTTGATTAATGTAACACTGTGCAGTCAGGTTGCCATCAGTCATTACAAGTGACGTTTTGCAGCGACTAGACACTCCTGAACCTCGCTGTCCATCATTCTGAAGTGTTGTCTCTCTCTCTGGGTGACTCTTGTGGTCTCCCAGGGTGTGGTGGATCAGTGGATCTTGTCTGGTTGTCAAGTTGTGCCAGATTAGAAGCTGTAAACAACCCAGATGAGAGAATTTATTGGCTTTTCTTGTATTAGGAATTTGTCTTTTCTCATTGCCCAACTTGCTCTCCATGTGACACAGACAGGGAGAGAAGCTTGGGTCAGAGCGCAGGGTCAGACATTAATATGTCACCCAACTGGTGGCACAAAGGCATTTTTCCATTTCCTGCTTTTCACTAGCCTAGTAGCCTCCAGTCCCAAACCACTAATCAATCTATGTTTGTTTAATAACTTGGGATAAGCATTTGTGTACAAGTGCTTCCCACTGACAGCTGAAAGTATCATATCTTTGTTATTAGAATTCAGTGAAGGCCATTCAATTATAAAGCATGATTGCAGCAGTCTGTTATTTTTTTACTTGCTAATGGTATTTTGCAAAAATAATTTTAAATAAAATACGTGGGTCAGTTTTCTTGTCTTACAATAATAATCTGAATATAAGAGTTTTATTATGCATAGGAGTGTACAAAAATAAGTAACAAAACACCACCACTTGATACAAATGCCTTTATAGAACACACTTTTAAAATTAATGTAAGAAATAAGAAATATGGAAAATGTCTTTAAGTATAGGCCTTGACTTCCCACTTTCACATTAAAAGCACCTTAGAATCACTGCTTATGCAGCACTAGATTCTAATGCTTTATTAAAATTGTTGATGTATTTTCAGAATCCCATTGCATGGTATGATTGCATTAATGCATAAGTCAGTATTAGCTTTCATCAGTGTAAGCAAGCATTGTGTCATAACTGGAATAAATACTTTTACCTCAGTTGTGAGAATAGAGGGACAGGTGTTCCTGGGAAAGCAGTATCTGTGCTTGGGCCTCTGTATGCCACTCGACCTGTGTGTGTTAAATTTTGCCAGGTTCTTCCTCTGGTCTCTCTCTCACACTGTCCCATCAGTTATTATCGCTGCTAAATAAAAACTGCTTACTAACCAAAACAGCCTCAGCATCATGGCTGCAAGTTAGTAAAATACTAACTGAAAGACAATAACTTTTGCTTTATTTATTTAATGAGTTTAATTCACACATTGATGGCACATTGGACTGATTTACTAAAATGTTTGCTTCTGGCGCAACTTGAATTATGTAAGAACATACTGTACTCATTTTCTTTATTTTTAAATGTATTTATTTTGTACTGTGTGGTCTGTAGGCTGTGCTGCATGTGATGTAGTTGTCGACATCAATCCTGGAGGATTGGTGGTCTTAAAAATGCTGCAGTCCTCGCTCAAAACTTGTAGCAGTGGACACATACTGTATATAGGGAAAACATTCATTTCTTCTGAAAAATGTGGACTCTGTGCTCCTGAACAAGGGTATCTTATCTTTTTCTGCTTTTCTAGCAGATGGTTTGCAGTTAAGGCAATGCAGAGCCTCACTGAGAGAACCTGAGTGTGAAAAGCAGTAAATTAAACCGAGTACATCCTACTTGTAGAAACCTAAAACTGACTTTAGTAAAGAAGAAATGATTTTGTTTTTGTTGTTTTCTTTTGCATTTCTTTTTATCAAAATGATGTGTGAGAGAGTTTGTCTAATGGAGATCAATTGATGTGAAACTATCTGAATCTAGACTATGTAGCAGAGCTTTTGAGAAATTTGACTCTCATTTGTGAGTTTGATAAAGTCCCTACTAATTAAATTTAAGTTTAACTAAACTTAGAAATGCATAATGATTTCTGTTACTATGCTTTATTAAACTTATGTCAGTAATAGAAACTATTAAATAATCAAGTACAGATTAGTCATTTAAATCAGGAGAGATTCAATTGATTTTGTAAACCTGACCGGAGTTGTACATTTGGAGTTTCTGCTTTTTCAGTGGAAACTGGAAAATAACAATATGCTGAGAGTGCCAAATCAGAAGACTTTATTTACATTGTGAAACATGTTTCAGTTTGTCTCTTCTTAGTGTACTGTGTTGCCATCTTTGTAATATGTTTTGGCTTTGTTACTCCCGAGAACCAAGCATGACTCCTTTTGTATAGCAGTTTGAAATATTTCAGGTGTGTGAAACTGCAGTTTGTAATCCAGCATCTGGTTAGGGATGTTTGGTGCTTGCTGTTGTTTTGAGGTAATTTATTATTGCAGATTATTTGCAAAAATAGATGAGATTTAAGTTAAAATAATGGTAGCTATTTATTTCCTTGAACTCTGCTCTAATAATAAATAATTCCTTGTAAATTAATAGCAAATTTTATCCCAGGAAATCATAAAGCACATCATATAGATAAGGGGACCAACGTGGTGCACTATGACTCTGTACCAGCAGCACATACTGTAGTATATCATGTGGAGAAGTTTAATATCTCATCCTAATAACACCTGTCCGCTTTAGGATAGTTTTTCCTTTCGCCATACTGGGGCAATGGTAGTCTGAATGGAAGAGTGCCACCTGGTATACCGACAACAGATACAGCAAATAATTATTGAGCAGACCCAGCCATACTCTGTTTCTGAGCTCTGGAGATAATATGACACTTTAAACCCCTGTAATTTGTTGATGTTATGACAGAGTTTGACCAGCCTTGTGCAACGCTGTATGCCAGGACTGTAGCCTCAGTGACTGTTATTTTGCTGTTTGTTCTGAGATGTGTTTGTTACTGTGAGTGGAATAAACAAGCTTTATTTAGCGTAACTTTTGTGCACTGGAATATTGGATTAAGTCTCTAACCGATGTCACAAGTTTTTTAAAAGGCAACTGGTTTCGGTGCTGGACTAAGTGAAAGCAGCAGATGTTTGTGCGTAAAGAAGTTTCTATATCTCAGAGTTGAGGGCAGCCCAGTCCCCACCTCCCCCATGGGCTCTATGCAGTAATTGGTAGCAGAATGTTTCCTCCCATTTTCTACAGCAAGTTTAATGTTAAAGGAACAGTACAGGAGAGCCTCAAATTCTATGGAGCCTTGTAAATGCTGGTGTTGGTGCTTTATTCTCAGGCGGGCCACTGAGTCTCCCCCAAGAGCAAGATGGAAGGGGACAGCGAGCCCTCCACAGAGGCAGAGGAGGCTGCCGTGTACTTCCAGATCCCAGGCCCCATGATCACCTTCCAGAACATCAGTTACTGTGTGAGTGTGAAAAAGAACCTGCTGCAGCGTAGCGCTGAGGAGAAGGAGATCCTCCGGAATGTCAGGTGAGGGTTTGTGTTGGTTGTGTGGAGTTAGGAAGATTTATATTAGTCTCAGTCTTATTTTTACTGAGGCACAGCAAGTTTTGCTTAGCCGTCTGCACTCCGGCCCAGAGCTTTCATTCACATGAAGTAAAATCAAACAAGGTCAAGAGTCCCGACTAGTGCAACACTGCATGCGCCATGAGACAGACTACACTGATACCAAGTATTACATGGTATCCTAAAATGAACAACTGTTGCTTTATAATCCCAAGAAGAAAATAAACCACTTCAGCGTAAATCAATCTTGAGCTTCACGGAATGACGTTATAAATTATCAGGTTTTTTCCTGTTTTCAAAAAACTGAAAACTTTTGGGCTCCTTTGCAACTGCTGCATTTCGGCAGACAGTTAGAACGGCCTGTCAGAAATGCAGGTGTATCAGATCTGCACAGATCAGTGTGACACTCCTGCTCCTTTGTTAACAGTGGGATAATGAAGCCGGGCATGAACGCCATCCTGGGCCCGACAGGAAGTGGAAAGACCTCGTGAGTATGCTGAGTGGACAGGTGGGGCATTAAAGTTGACCAGGGTTTCAGGACTGACCTCGTCACCCCCGTGGGTCTGGGACAGTTCTCTCAACTTGCTGAGTGGTATTCAAACCTTCTTTCCTCAATTGATCTAGCCAAAACCAATGCACTTGGGAAAAGAGAAATGAACAGAAGCCATCTTTACTTTACTTGAAATAGTTCTGGAAATATTTATCTTCACCTGTACATGTATATGATCTTTTCAAAATTCAATAATTTGTTATTTGAAAGATGTATGCAATTTGATGCACAGTACATGACTTTTTTGTGATCTGTCAACTAGACCAAATTTAGACAAGTTATGTAAATGAGAGCTCAGATAAATGCATGTTAGAAGATACCGAATTTGACCACTGTTTTATAGTCTTTTATAACCAACAGACTGAAAGTTTTAGAAATTTAGTTTTTTTTGCATATTTCTTTGAGGGGTAATTCTCAAAGTGCTTTAAAAAGTATTTACTAGGGAATACTGAATAACAAAGCTTCCCAGTTAGTAAAACAAAGATATAGGTTAAAACATAATCATTTGCATTACAGCCCATGAAACCATACCTATCCCAAAGGTTCTTGTGTACATGTGTTTCCCATGTCTTATGAGTTTTCTTATGAGGTTAAAAAATTTCAGCACATCTCGGATACTGAAAGGTGACTATGAGGCACATACGGTTAAAGAACTGTAGGGAAATAGTAAACAAAAAATACAAATGTTGTCCAGAAAATGTGGATGCAATCTAGTGATTCACTGGTATCCTCATCTACCCTTTGCCCAACAGCTTGACACAATCTTCAAAGCTGGTAAATAAAGCCCACGGCTTCAGTGTCATTCACTTCTGTCCTCATGTGACCGGCCACCATCAACAAGGCCATCAAAGAGCCATCCCTCAGTGTGTTACTCTCTTCGCTCTCTCTAAATTTTCATTACCCTCCCTTTGTATTCTTCTCTTTAACTGCATTGTTGTTTCTGTGAAGAGCAGTGCTTGGGATGTTTCACAAGAGACATTAGATGTTCCAGCACTTAACCCAGATGAATTATAGGACCCAATGCAGTGACTTATAGATCTCACTGAAAGCAAGGGGACTTAGAAGGAAAATCTGAGTGTACTTACCGGTTCAAGAGTTGTGGTCAAAGATGGGTTCACTGGTCAGGAAGCCAAAGGTTCAGAAGCCAAGTAATAAACAAGGAAATCTCAAAACAGAGACAAGGAGCTCCGCTTGGTGAAAACCAGTACTGAGCATTGAGGCAAAGGTGGTGAGGGCTTAAGTATTCCCGGGAGGTAGGGGGCGCAGTGACAAAGGAAAGGCCTGATTGGTTGATTCTTTAATGCGATGGCGTTTGCAGGAATTGAATAGGTTAGGAACAATGCGGTTTCGTTTGCGGGAGTTGCGTAGGGTTGGATTCTTATTGTGAACAGTCATGACATTAGAAACCTGTCGTGTCATACATTGTGTCTGTGCTGCCGTAGGAGACACTGTCTTGTGTCCCTCCACCTCCCACAGGCTCCTGGATGTCATCGCCGGCAGGAAGGACCCCCGGGGGCTCCGTTCGGGCCAGGTTCTGGTGGACAATCAGATCATGACCTCTGAACTCCGGCTACGATCTGCCTACGTGGTGCAGGTGAGAGGGCAGCCATGGGCCCACAAACTTTTGCAGATGCTGATTACTAGGAGAATGTGCGATGGGCGCTGGAGTGATGTCACGCTTGTTTACAAGGCCACAGGCTGAGATACCCCAGAGGTGATGTTCTACCAGCACACATGCCTTGTCTTGCAGGATTTGTCTGTGAAGAAAAATTGTTTCCAGTCCCAAGCTGACCAATCAGAGATCAGAGTTTTATATTGTTATTGTGTGATAATGATAAAACCCTGAGTAACTTAATTTTAAACATTACGTTTCTTGTAGTTCAAGTAGGTAGCTGCATTAGCATGCGTAGGCTGCAGAGGAACAAGTAAAGGTTTATTACGTTTCTTATATCTAACAACACATGCACTTTGGTTTATGATTTCACCTGATAGATTAAAATATATTCCGTGTAACAGACAGTTTAAGTAATATAGGACATAAGTCAGCAGTGTCTTGTGTTTATTAAGCAAAGACAGGTTTATGAAAGGCAGTTCTTCCATTTTTATTTCAATCTTTGCTCAGGAGGCATTGGTGAATTACAGAAGCATTAAGGCTTTAATTTCAGTGATTAGACCGATGAACTGATGTTCAAAGAGACCCGATTAGCTTTATTAGGCCAAATCAAAACAATACGTTAACAGCAGCCTCCTGCATTTTATAACTTGGCTAATTATCATTTAATCCAGCTATGCACTGAGTGTTTGTGTCCACGTTCTGCAGTCGTTGGGCTGGCCAGTGTGAAATTCTGGGATTTATACTGCCTCTGGTCTTGGGTGTTGCACGTGTTTTTTCTGTGTCAGTCAGTGAAGTTTCAGGATGTGGGAGTAGGGGGGTGGTGATTGACCCTCAGTAGATGAGACTCCTGTCTTGTGACTAACGTGTCGTTAGGTCTCCTATTAGGAACATGATAGGAGAAGCTGATGAGGCAACCTTTCAAGAAGGACTATAAACAGTGGTCAGTGAATGAAACTGAATTATTTTTAAAATTACTATTGTGCAATTGAACACATTATAAAAGAGTAGGAAAGTCATGAGTGAGCAGCGTTTGCTCAGCTGTATGAAAATATTTATTTCCTTTTTTGTTTTAATTTTTTATTATTTATGCTTTATTTGTATGTACTGTACTTGTTTTCTTTCTTTCTGTTTTTTATACTGTTTACTGACATTCTGTACTGTTTGTTTGGATTGTATTGGTACAGTAGTTTCCTTAGGGAACAGATGCTTTCTGCAAATGCAGGCCAGGGTTAGACTGTCGCGTGCCTTGGCATGTGGGCTCAGTCAGTGCCATGAATGACTCATAGTGTGGGGACTGGCAGTCACCTGACTCAACGTGTGTTATAGGATGACATTCTGATGGGCACACTAACAATCAAGGAGAACCTAGAATTCTCAGCGAATCTCCGCCTGCCTCCACGGGAATTCTCCGCGGAGGAGAAGAAGCTGAAAGTAAATGCTGTAATCAGAGAACTGAGCCTACAAGACTGCGCTGACACCAAGGTACTCATCACACACTGACTACAGTGCTCCAAGGTGCATTTTAGTGCATTGCACTTACTTACGTTACCCTAACTTATAACATTGGAGTTACTATAGCGCATGTAATCTAACTGCTGGAATTGGATCATACATGTGTATGAGTAGCTGATGCAGCAAATTGTGGCAGATAAGGAGATTCTGTTATGAGATGTCCTGAGGAGACATCTGGTTTAGTGGTTTAGTCTGTGGTTTGATTAATTGAAATGCTGTTTTTTTAACGTATTGATGGAGGAAACATTGCATGATCCTTCACCCCTCTAGTTCCTGTGAGATTCAGGCATGGATCGTTGTTAGAACTAGGTTGTCATGGACTATAGGCAATGTGACACAAGCAGTTTGGAAAGCAAAAGCAAGTACTTATCTTTGCATTTTTGTGCTTTTCCTCAACATATTGGCACAGAGTTCATCCGTGGGGTGTCAGGAGGGGAGAGGAAGAGGTGTAGCATTGGCATGGAGCTCATCACCTCACCCTCCCTTCTCTTCCTGGACGAGCCTACCACCGGTCTGGATGCCAACACTGCCTTCTCCATCATCCGCCTGCTTCACAGGTATCACACAGGTTCCACCTGCTTCAGTGGTACCACACAGGTGCCGCAGCTTCTGCCTGCTTCGTGGATATTAGATGGTGCACACCTGGGCTTTACTGCATGAAATACATGTAGATGCAGGTTTTTTACCGTATACAGTGCACTGGCACTGTTTTCAGTGATCTGCATTGTCTGTACCACACCAACACTACGTGCTCATTCTTACATATCGCATCCCTTCGTTTTAACAATGGTGGTCTGGGTTCTTTGATTCCCGAGCACTGATGGACTGACTCTGTTGGGCAGACGAGCTGCAATGTCCATTCAGTGGTGTTGAAAGAGTGTTGTCCCTTCAGGCTGTCGCGAAACGGGAAGACAATCATCTTCTCCATCCACCAGCCGCGGTACTCCATTTTCCGCCAGTTTGACCACCTGACTCTCATGAACAAGGGCGAAATCATCTTTGCTGGGCCTGCCGAGAAGGCAGTGGGCTACTTCGAGGGGCTGGGTAAGCTCATATGGTGATGTGGCTGGATAAGGGCATGAGTGGTAAGCAGAGGCAGGCAGGCAGATCAGCTCATTACTCTAAATGTCTCATGACTGCGAGTGGACTTTCTGCTGTCTGTTCACTGCAACAAAGTAAGTGAATCGAAATAAACATTGAGTAGCATGGAAATGTTAAAAAAGCATGACTGATGCATAGTATTGGAAATAACATGCTTAGGAAAAACTGTGATGTTATGGGAATGAGTTCAGTCCTTTCATGCCAGAATTACTGAAAGCAGCAAACAATGTAATGTAATATATCTTTTGTAAAAAGATATTTAATTCTAAAAAATATTTGTAACCTTTCTTTATAATTAAAAAATGGTTACAGTCTATGAGATCATCTTACAACAAAAGTAACATAGACAGAGCATGTGAGGCCTTTATTCAGATCAGAACAGAAATATAGCTAATTTCACAAAAATATGGTTGATTGTGCTACGGATATACCAGTAGAACACAGAATTCAAGCTTACTTAAAAGGTCATTATAAGGAAACTTAAATAAATTGTAACTTATTAATATTAGTTCTGTGCCTGTGACTGACTCTGATTGTTTTGTTTCTGCTGGCCAGGATACAAGTGTGAACCTTTTAACAACCCTGCCGATTTCTTCCTGGACATCACCAATGGAGAGATCGCCCCCTGTACAGACATGGCCACGCCAGGTTAGGAGGGAGCAGAACTCTTTCCAGGTTTAGGATTCAGGGAGCAGTTTGTCTAGGGTCGCTCAATTGCTCTGCATATTCTGAACTTGTTTTTGAGTTCATTTTTGGAACCTTCAGTGTCAGGCTTGTGTCTGTCCAGATATCTACAGTGTGAAGTACATTCCATGTCCCCTCTTCCTTCCCTCTCCCTCCTGTCCCTGTGCAGGTCTCCAGAGCGCCTCAGGCATGTTGTCTGGGGACAAGAACCCCCTGGCGCTCTGTTACAAGGAGTCGGAGTTCTGCAGCCAGGTGGAGGAGCAGCTGAAGCAGATGGGTCAGGTAGCTGACCCAAGTGCCACACCAGTCCACATAAGGGCCTCTTATGCCACACCCTTCCATTACCAGGTCAGAGCCTCAAGCCAGGCTATATTTCCCCACCTCTTCATTTTCAACTTCATCAGATATCCCTGAAATTTAAGATCTATTTTGTCTCGTCATGCCTTGTCATTTTTCTAGTTTTTTCACCGAGAATAAAGACTTCCCCCTGAGCATGTGTTTCTGAAGCAGTCTTAACAAATGCCTCAATATGCCTGACACTGAAATTACACACCCCACCCTGTTAAAGTGTCTAGGATTTCATTTATCACCTGTGTTCCACTGTTGACATCTTTACTGCAGTCACTGTGATGTGATGTAAACAGTAATGTTTAAAATAATAGAAAGGTATGTGTTGAATGGGAAATGAATTGAACAGTTTGTGTGGGAGTAGACCATTTCCATGGTGAGCATAACAGCAGTAGTTATCTCTAGATATGATAAAAGGAGAATTGCTGTTGTTCAAGATACACATGATTAACAGTAAATGAAAATACTCTGCACTCTGGCACTCATGGATTTTGGCACCAGAAAGCCTGAAAAAGGAGGAGGTGCAGCAGTGAGCCTGGTGTGAGGACTTCAACCTTTCAGAGCCCGCCACTGAAGGCTCCTGCTCTGTCCATGGTGCTGATTATCCCCGTTGGAATCCAGGGCTTATGCATAAAGCACCTACTAATGCAATTTTGTAACACAAAAATGCTACAGAGTGTCAAATAAGTCTTTCGGCCATTTTAAGATTAGTCTATATTTATTATTTTCATTAAACTAGAACTGTGTTTTTCACTTCAATTAAAAAATATTTAATTTAATATAGTGAAAGATGCTGTGGGAAAGATGCATAATATGGCCCATGGTCTCACAGGGACAATCCTCCAATGTGAGCTTGGCTGTAATACTGACACAATGTTCTGCACCCCTCTTTAACTATACAGTCTGGGAGGGGTAAAAGTGCTTGTTTGATGAAAGGCGAAGTACAGTACACCACTCACTCCAAGTCGTTACTGAGTGGTGTGTTACAGATGCATGTTCATTTGCTCTCTGCCATCTAATTTGCAGACTGTGTGTGTTTTTCCTTAGCTGATGGTGGTTTGTGGACGGACAGTGAAGAACATCCTGAGAAATCCACAGACCTCTTATGCCCAGCTTGCCCTCAACATAGTTTTTGGGATTTTGGTGGGACTCATCTACTACCAGATCCCAAACACCATCCCTGAAGCCCTGCAGAACAGGTACTGTGTGTGTACGCAGAGCTGGATCTCTGATCACTTTAATTACTTTTTAGTATAACAGAGCAGAAAACTTTAATTATTCCTTCTTTTTTTATTTCAAGGGAACACGGTATCTTTTAACCCCTTTATCCTCTTAATTACAGAATCGGGGCTTTCTTCTTCTTGGTCATCAATATGATCTTTGGCAACCTGTCGGCAGTGGAGCTCTTCATCAGCGAGCGTGTGCTGTTCATGTGAGTACACACCCCACCTCTCCCTGTGCCACTGCTGTAATACTGTTATATTAGATTCAGAACATTTTCCTGTTTTTCAAAGAGTTAATAATTGAAGAGATGCTCCTTTAAGTGTTAGTTGAGCAAGTTTCTCTATGAGCATTAAGTAAGTTAACCTGCTCATTTGTGTCCCTGTTTTTAAAAAAAGCTGTCTTACCTGGAAGGGCGAGAGACAAAAGAAAGTGAGATAGTCGACTACACTAGAGGCAGATAAAAGTTTCTTGGACTCCAGCTAGGAGGTGCCTAGTGCTTAGCCTTATTGGAAAAATGCAAATAAAACTTGTATAAGTGTTTTAATTGTTTTAAAATTAGAACCACTTATGTGATCCTGTGATAAAAAGGACTTTGAACATTTTCAGGGATTATTGTTGTTTTGCAATTATATATATGTATATCTGTTCACAGTTAATTATTTTACAGTTGTAAAATAGTCATTGTCACTTCAGAACAATACTTCAGGGTATTGTTTTGTTTATCAGCATTATCATAAAATATAATGAAATAGTACTTGAAAGTAGTGTTTTTTTAATACTGGATTTTTTTAGAAGACTTAAGGTCATCAGGTACAAGAGGGGCAAGCTTCTTCTTACCTTCTTTTCAACTGTGCCTTACAAATCTGTCCAAATCAGTACTGTCTTAAAGTCTTTCAATGATCCAAATCTATTCATGTCCCACCCACTGGGTACCCCTACATTTGCTAGCTGCTTGCAGTGTAATCCAAGGTGAGCATGTGAAAGTGAGAAGGGATGTCATTCGGTTGATTTTAACAGACCGTAAAGAGAGAACTGCAAGTAAAGATTGTGGGGTACAATGTGTTACAATCTGTTGTGCTGCAGCCCTAGCAATGGTCTTGTCTTTTTTCAGACATGAAAATGCCAGTGGCTACTACCGCACCTCTGTGTATTTCCTGTCCAAAGTGTTTGCTGACCTCATCCCTAACCGCATTGTCCCAGTGTTCCTGTTCTCTGGGGTGTCTTATTACATGATGGGTATGTAGGAGCCTCCCATTTAAATTAGCCACTAAAGCATGGTTGGGCATTTTATTCCATTAGCTAAGAATTCCCTGTTTACAGGCCTCTTGCTTATAAGTATATATGAACCCTGAAGGATGGTTTTTAAAGTCACTTTTCAGAAAGTTAAATCCAGACATTCACCCATATTCCTCACAGTTTATATAGTTACTGCTGCTGTTTGATAATGAGGAAGATCTTTAGTTTTCTTCATGCTTATTAAAAAAAGTTTCTTGGTAAAGTTTTATTGTATATTTGATTAGGCCTCTCTTGACTGGTGTTACTGTGACTCCTGCAATTTCCAGGGTTTGTGCAGATTTGCAGTGATGTCACTGAGAGATGCACTAAGCCTCCTGTGAGGCACTTTTTAGCTTGTGGCTTTTCTAAAGATGACGGGCTCAAGGGCAGATTGGGGGAACCTCTCAGCCCATCCTCATTCTCCCTGTGTACTCTCGAAACTGACGCTGTGAGCTGAAATGTAAAAAGGTCTAAATTAAGTGGTTATGCAGTCAAAAGTACAGTAATTTTAAATAAGCATTTTAAAAGCTTTACTCCAACATTGATCTTAACTTGACACCTCATCAATTTCTGGCCCTGTTCCATTACCCAGGAAAAACCTTGTGTTTTTGAGAATTGCTTTGTAAAAATTATAACTTTATACTATGTACCATTGTTGAACCAGGAAACTTGGAAATACTGTAAGTTTCATTGCTATAGTTTTACAAATGTAATGACAGTCAAAGTATATTTGTGCAATACTTATTTCATACATAAATGTAAATGTTTATGCTGTTTATTTGTTTTTGTACTGACGGTGGTACAGTACTACAAATACATGTTAATAGAAAGTCAAAAAGTAAATGAAATCAGAATAAACATTATTCAGAAAACATTTATCCATGTATAGATGTATCTATAAAGGAAAGCATGGCACTTTTTCAGTTTTATAACCATGCCTGGCCTTTCCCCACTGTGTGTGCCCAGGGTTGAAGAATGCTACAGATGCCTTCTTTCTGTATTGCTTGACCATGAGCCTTGTGAGTCTGGCCGCAGTCAGCTTGGCGTTCCTGGTCAGCGCCAGTGTGGGCTCCTTCGCTGTGGCCAACGTGCTGATCGCCCTGCCCTACGTCTTCATGATGGTGAGCTGCGACACTCTCCCATTCCTGCATTTCACATTTCAGGGATTAAGAACACAGGAAACGTGTTTTGCTCTGGAACAAAAAGCTCTGAAAGTCACATAGTTGGTTTCGTTTGGATTGAATGTTTTACTGTAATATGGACATTATATTATCTAGGACCTTTTATATCATCTTTATTTGATTAAATCCTAGCTTTATAGATTTTTTCATTTATTTTGGGAGGTATTGCTCAAGACTGAAATACAACTTACAGAGTGGTTTTTGGAACCAAACTCTTCTGTAAATAGAGGTCTGTCTGTATATACTGTAGATTCTATATATTTACAGTGTAGGAGATTCTGGGCTTGCTTTGTATTAATTGTCACACAATAACATCACCATGGCCACCAGGGGGCAATGTTCCCCTTCGGTGACCCATTTCTGACACGCTGCCCTCTTGACCTGGCAGGTGTTTGGGGGCTTCCTTGTCAACCTAAACTCCATGCTGTCCTGGCTGTCTTGGCTTAAGTGGATCAGCATCTTCCGCTACGGATTGGATGTAAGTACTTCAGGGAAGAAATTCTGTCCAACTGCATTTCTGGATTGTCATTTTCCTGGCTGCGGTTAAGTACTTAATCTTTGTTGACACAAACTTTATAACTAATCCTGAATGATTTGCAGTGGACCATAGAGGATTGTGTGCAGTTTAAGAGGGATTTAAGAAAGATTTTATTTCCATACTAGTCTAAATTATGTGGTTAAAATATGATTCCTGACCTTTTCTAAACCAGAGCTATTTAATGTTAATCTTGGAGAGAGATCCTTTTTGGAATCTGGTTAAACTAAACAATGTTGCCAGTATGCTGGTGTACATCTGTATTCAGTGCCTTGCACAAGTGTTCAATCACTTACAATGATGTGCCATTTTGCTGAATTACAAAAGATGCCTACTCATTTTATAATCAAAACTTAAACTTAAACTGCTTAAACTGAAACGTTACCCGTGATAGAAGTTAATTGTCAGCACAAACAGCAAATCAAAATCAAATGATGCATACATCATTTGTGATTCATTCAAATGGGACCTCAAAGCATCATTTCGCTTCCTTTTGTTCTCACAAATTGTTTTGTGTTTGTTCCTAAAGGCGCTGACTATCAATGAAATGAAGGGACAGGTGTTTACCAACAACTACACCATGTAAGCTATTATTTCATATTTCAGCCTCCTGTGTTTGTTGTCAAGAGCAATAGGCATTCTTGTACATTCAGTGCTTTTCTATATTTTCAACTCACAGAGAATAAGTTTGGACTCCAGAAAAAAACATTTTAAAGAACACAGACCTCTGGGTTGCTGATGTAGTGTGTACAATCTTTCTGTCTGCCTTTGATAGTTGCAAACAATAATAGTATTCGAGTCCAGTGATAGGAAAGATGCTGTGCAGCATTACTGCCATCATCTCAGATAAGTGACAGCAATTCTCTTCAGTGCTCCAGGGGAGATCACTCTGTCCCACAGCACAAACTATTGACAAGTTCCGGTAAAATACATATAGGAATGCAGACGAGAAATCGAATATTTCTTCACTGAAATAGTTTGGGAAATTTAGATGTGTTCCTTAACTGAGAAAAAGGTGCTATGATGTGGTTTCCATCTCCTCTCAGAGTGACCGGGGAGATGTACATGACCCAGCAGAGCATCGACTACAGTCCCTGGGGCTTCTGGCAGAACGAGGTTGCGCTGCTCGGCATCATGATCGTCTGCATGCTGATGGCCTACGTTCAGCTACGCAGAATCAACAAGTGGAAGTAAAGACACCATGCGTCTTACACAGTGTTGCTGTTATCCATTAGGTGATTTTAATGGCAGCAAGTACCTTCTCATGTCTAGGATCTAAAGGTATGACAAGGTCCACCCCCGCCTTTTCAAGAACTGCCTCTGAAATCCCAAACTTGAGCTGGACTGGGACATTGGGTCTCTACTCCACGCTCATTCAGTCTGTCAAGCCACTACGAGAGGAAGTATTATTCTTCAAGTACAAATAATCTGAACATTTCATACACAGAAATAGATTATTCAAAAATAAATATAAAATAAGAAAAAAAAACATTTGGCATAACCCCGAGGTGAAGAGTCTGGACTCATGTGATATCTTTTTATGAACAGCGGCCGTGCCCCTAAAACTATGTAGTGAATTGGCCTCTTCTTTTGGAACCCTGTAAAGCTTGCAGTGTCCGTCCAGAGCACAAAAGGGACATTCTTGCAGTGTATTCCTCAGACCTAATTATCTTCATAGCAGATCCCAGCAAAGCAGGGCTTTTCTTCAAAACAAAAAGATGATGGCTGAGTTTTTCTGATGTGAGTACAAAAGACACAGGATTTTGTTTTCACTATATCAGGCTTTCTTTACAGAACACAACAGGGTCTGATTTTTAGTCAATTTCTGGAGAATACTCTTTCTTTGTATCAATATTAAATATGCACACAAAAGAGTGACAGGATATGAAGGACTTTCTAAGATGATCATCTTAATAATTACAAAAAGCTGTGTACCTGGAGTTGCAGTGTGTGTTTTCATGAGTGAAAGTGAGTGTAGTGAGACCCTAATTGGAGTATGTTGTGTGTTTATGCCAACACTGTTTGGTGCCCGCTTTCTCTACAACATAATTGGACTGATGGGCCAGGTGGCCTCCTTTCTTATGTTCACAATGAGTGCACTACCTTTATGTGTAAAGGGACAGGCACTGATTTACATATCATCTTGGATTTTAAGTGGCTTTAGGAAATGTTATTTTGAAACAGGTGAAACAGGTATTCTAATTATGTAATTTAATCAATTACAAAACTTAAACTGATGGTGCAGGTTGTATAGGTTTTATGTTTTAATTTACAGGACTATGGCCCCTGGCCTGTTGTCACACCTGTAAGAGCCAGCCTCCCCAGCAGTTCAGCAGGGCTCTGTGGCACTCCTTTCCACTCAGGTCTCAGCGCTGTTCTCCTGACAGAGCTCGTCTCCTGGAGCAGCACTCTCTTCACCATTGTGAAGCTGATTTTTCACACTCTACATTTCATTTTCAACCCAGGTTCACAGAACATCCCATCTTGTGTTTACTGCCTGTTTCTTTTCCCTGTGCGTGCAGTACAATTTCATGTACTCTTTTAACTTTTTCTTTGAACTTAAATGTCAAGCAATCTTCCAAAGAAATACTCTGCAAAATTCTTCTGTGCTTTTGTATTTAAGCAGTTTTTCCTAGCTGTATGTTTTTTTCAGAGCCAATTGTTTCACCAAAAATATAAATAAATGGAAATAGAGGGCACAACTGTTGTTTTGTTCTTTGAGGTATGACAGAAAAGTGACGTTCTATATGATTTTGCAGGGAATTGCTCATTAATCTTGTGTGGTGAGGTTCCTTATCTCTGAAGGGATGGGATGGGATGTCACTGAACTGTGAATAAAATCAGCAAACAGTGCAGACAGGGGACATTAATGCTTCCCATTTGCTGGCACTAGAGATTTAAATTATAGTTTTAATATCTATAGTATGTTATAATTTATGTGAGAGCTGGCATACGCATGGGATAGACCGAGACGAGTCATCAGCAACTCAGATTGGGTGATTAATGTATCATTTCTGAGGCTTACTGTGGTGGTGCAATTCCATAGAACTGTTTGCTATTGTTTTGCTAATCTAAAAATATGAAATATTAAGCATAATGGGAGCTTTATTCAAATGTCAGGCACATATAAATGTTTTACAGGTAAAAGCCATTAACTACTGTCAACTGTACTGCAGATTACAGGTGATGAACTAACCTGTTCATCTCTTGTGATTCATAATTCGCTTTTGGAAAGTGAAACCCAGCCTGGTGGAATTTTCCTGCATTCCGTCAGTACATGACAGGCCTTCTTCCTCGGAGTGAGGGAAGGTGCAAGTGGAATAGTCAAAATGAAAACCATAATTATCGTGGCATCTTTATAAAATGCTGCTTTTAAGGTCAGACCTGATACCTTACTGTTTTTATAATTGAAATGGCACTGTTAACTCTACATGAAATTACATTTGCATAGTATTTCATGTGTAATTTTCAACCACAGGCCTACTTCCATTGTTTGATGGTGAAGTTGAAGTAATTGTACTGGTCTACCTGCTCACTTCAGTGTGAACTGCCAGTTTGTCTAAAGGAAGTTTGTTAGAGGGACAATTGTGCCTCTGTCGCTCTCTACTGGCAACACTTAGCAAATGGCTGTGTCAGGAGGAATGATAGAGGAAGGGATGAAAATCTTTTGTAGATTCTTAAATTGAAAGGTGGCTTTCTTAATGTATATAATTTTATAGACTTTCTGTTTGATAAATACTTTTTCCCATAACACTCATCAATTACTGTAATGTAATTGAACAAAACAAACACCAATATAAAATACAGAAAAAATGCCTTTTATTATTGGTATTTACATATTACTAAAAAAAAGAGTTTTGGTTACTCATAAACAAATTACTGTTGAATTAATACTGGAAACAAGTAAATCCCAGCTTTTCGATGTGGTGTCAATGACAAAGAGAAAGAAAATATTATTTCGCATTTCTTTGGAAAACTGATAAGCCTGGACAGAGCAATGGCATTTAGTGGTAGGCAGTGCTATAGTACAGCTTACAGTGCACTCTAGCATATTTTCACCTCACATTACACTGACTAAGTCTTATCTCTTAAGAGAGAGCATTACCCTATTTGTGTTTGTTCCACATATTCCAATAGGGTCACTTTGACACAAATTTACTGCAAGTACAAACAAACAACTAGATTTGGTAAGAATAAGTTTAATTTGGAAGTGCAAAGCACTGGGAGCATATGGGTGGAGGTGATAGTTTGTTTTGCTGCCTTTTGCTCTACTGCAAACACCACTCATACAACACAATCTGTAGGGATAAAGTTATTCCTGGGCTGTGGGATTGGAGCCCCAGTTCTTGCAATACAGAGAAACCAGGACCTCAAAACTGCTATGGCTGGGCCAGACACCTACGGGCTAGTCCTACTGGGTATCCTTGCCCAGTACACTCCCTTCCTGGTTTACCCTCCAACAAATGCTGTGCAGTGAATGGATTGCAGTCCAGTGCTGTGGATCTCACCCGCAGAATGTGAAAGTCATTTGCTCTTTGCTCAAGGCATTTGGACAGAGACTGGTTTAAGGATGAAAGTGAGTTCTTCCCAGACATATTTCTATTTAATTCTGTCCCTTTCCAATAGCAGCAAATAGCATTGCCAAGCTACACTCTGCGAATTGACATGCGAAAGCTCAGAATCCTTGGCTTTCCTCCCTGAAGAGGACTGGGCGGGAGCAGCTGTGAGCTAAGGTAGCGCTGTGCGAGAAGGCCTGGGCACTCTTGGGCCAGGGCCCAGCTGGCAATGGTCTGAGTTCCTTAGAGTGAGAAAACATGCAAAGACATGGCCTGTGAGACTCCAGTCCTCCACCCAGGAGGAGAGGATGAGGTGTATGCTGTGGACAGTTACTTACTGTATATGGCTTCACTGTACCTTGGCTCTCTATGTACCTAAGCATAACGTCTTCACATGTATCACACATGGCTTGGCCAGGACAGTTCCAGCAACCTGTACTGAAGAAATGACTTGGACTCAAAGATACAAATCAAGTAACTGGACATTTCAGACAGATATGGCCTAAAATTTCATGCTTCATTCCCTTTGGTTTTAGAACAGAATGTGCTAAGTCATATAATATATTTTCCGCTAGGGGGACCTATTCCCCCACCCTCCCCCGAACACCTTAATCCACCTTGGTCACCTTAATTCACCTTAATCCACTTGGTCAACATGGGGGAAATGGACTAGTTTATTTCTGTACACACCCCCGACATAACTATGTTTGTGTATTGTCTGTCACTTTTTATTTTTTCTGCAGTGTTGACCTAAAATGTCTAATGCTTCTACAACAGTCCAGTGTCTACAGAATTAGCTGCAAATGAAATATTAAAATGAAGATGTGAAATGAAATATTGTTTTGTCTTTCTCTGTGATTCCTGAATGGCAGTTCTTTTCTATGCACAGTAACTGCTCCCCATTGGTTTTCCTTTGCTGTGCCCTACCTTCCATGTGGGGAAAGCCTCTTTGGAAAATGAAAGGCGGTTGAACATGCCAGTGCAGGTATAAATCGGTTTCAACCTGAACCAGTTTTGACCAGGGGACACATCTGGAAAACTGCATTCCTGGACTGGACTCGTGAGTGAAAGGTGTAACGATGGCAAGATTCATCAGACCCCTCAGTTGCCAGTTGCCCCCTGGTGTGTCGGGTAATAGAATTAGTTGGCAGGAGGAGTCAGTCTGCAAGTCCCGAAGCTCATTCTGGTGTGGGGGAGTGGTGGGGGGCGAGGGGAGCTGGGGTTAAGGGGTGGGGCGGTGAGACCCAGCTGTGGGCCTGCAGAGGTGCGGGGGCACTAGATGAGCAGTAGGCGCAGAAGTGGAGGTGCCAGCACCAGGAGGTAGCTGGTGCTGTAGGTGTGGCTGGCTGCACGGCCCTTGCTGTTGCAGTCGTCCGAGTAGCAGCAGTGAACTTTGACCCCCGCGACTTTGGAACCTTCCCTCCGAGCCTGCTCGCAGAAGGAGCGGTACGAGCACGACTTCATAACGCCATCTAGAACAGGACACACTCAGAGTCAGCCCTCCTGCTTCTCACGCTCAGAAACACTTCATTACAGCAAGAGTTCCCTTCTTTGAGATGTAGAAGGGTGGCAAAAAATACATACAGTATAACTTGAATGTTTAAAGCCTATTAACAAGACCATTCACTGCCCGTGTGCATCCTTCCTGGTCTGCAAATCCCTAGTTGGTTGTAATCTGATTACAAAGAATCCTTGGAACCATCAACTCTCAAAACCACCTCCCCACTACAGCACCACCTGCCAGAAAACCCTAAACAGACAGACTGTACTATATGTACCCATTGTCTAAATGGAGAATGGTTTTAAAACCTTTTATTTTGTTTTTTGGAATCTGTGATGGAGTGTTAATAGGTTGTGTTTTTTTTAATTATTGAAATTGAAATACTAAGATCAGAAGAAACAGTTGTTTATTGCTCCTTCCCCACCGTGACCGTTTTCTATACAACAGCCTAAGGAGAGGTCCCAATTACCCTTTGTCTCATCATCTGGGGTCACCAGAGGTCAGGATTTGGAACTGTCCAACAGGTTTTCTGAGCTCCACAACTCAGGAAGCACTAAATCCAGAAATTTGTCATTTAAAATCTAAGCTGGGAGGACAATGCCCTATGGATCTCACCAACAGCTTTGAAGCCAAAGCTACATTAAGTACAAAAGAAATTTACAAAATATCCTGTTTTTTTAGATGAGGGAGAACCAATATATTTCCATTGTTTTTGCTCCACTGCTTGTGAAATCAAGTCAGTTTGGAAAACATGATAATGTGGTTGTTTATTTGGGGTCTTTTGGAGGTCTTGAGAGCAGGTGTTAGCCAGCCCTGTCATAGACACTCAGGCATCCCAAAGTCTTAGTCTGACGAGGAGTAAATGAGTAAAGTATCTCCTGTCACCTAAATTGATTCTTCTTTTTAGCTGAATTATAAGATTGTCTCAGCTACGTTTTTGTCCTCCTAATTGTCCTAAATGGTGATGTAGTTTGTGATGAGAGACTGTAAAATGGTTACCACCATGCTCCAGCTCAGAGTAGGCTGTATCTTACAATGCCAAATGTTTGAGGAATCGATCTCATTCAATGAAAATAAGTCACTGATCATGTTAAGCGAGACTGTGCGGGATTATCCCTGTGTGGTTTGTGTGTGAGGTCAGGTTTGGGCACTCACTGGCTTGTCCTCTGATGATGGAACAGGCATCAGAGTGGCTGGGACACTGCTGGGAGCCCTGGCGATTACAGTCTTCATCACTGGAACCCACACAGCTGTAGCAGCGCAGCGCTTCACCTAAAACAAGCAGCTACTGTCAGCAGTTCAACTCTGCAGCATGACCAATCTATAGTTTCAGCTCTGGTCTTCACTCCTGCAATCGATGTACTGTATACATACAGTTCCTCTTGAAACCTGTTAGCATATCATTTTCCAATGTTAAAACAATTATTGGTCTGATCCGAGTGATACACGCCACTATTGTTCCTGTCTAGAGGTGAAAAGAGGTTGGCCTTCCAGCTGCAAAATTGTTGTTCATCAGTAAAGAGAAGGGATTCTATGCATTGTGTGTGGTTTAAAGTTGGACCTCATTTTAAGACTTATATGACAAACTTGTTTCATTTATTTTCTCAGCAAAAATACCCATAATTATTAATCTTGATAATGACTGTCTAATGGTTTTTGAAAAACAATGTTGCACCTATGGTTAAATCTGCATTATTGTTTTCTTCGAGATTCTTCTTAAGGCAGAACACACAATCAATCTACCTTCCATCATACCATAGGAATTCCAACCCTCAACAGAAGCAGAACGTCAAACACATGAAAACGGGATTACAAAGCCAGATGTGTTTACCCCTCTCATGGTACGTTCAACACTTGCGCCAGGGCAGGTAACTCTGCAAACCAGACAGAATGACTGAGGGCACACCTCCACCTGCTTCTTCTGCTATGCCTCGGTGGTAAGGAGTTTATTTCATCTAAATCATGCAGTGTGTGTGAAGAGGCCATTTTATGCATTTTGATATTGCAAAACTAAAACAAAACAAATGCAACTGCTAACAGTAAACCCTTAAAGGGAGGAATGACTAACATTTTGTTTCAGATATATTGAGTTTACAGGTGAAGATTTACACCTGGATGTTTTGCAGTATCTTACACATACTCTAAGATATTAATGTTTTGAGTTTTTATGCTGATTTCCGCTTCTCTAACGATTGTACAAAGAGACGTTTTTCTGTCAGATCATTTCAGAGCGTCATCTCGATCCTTCACCAAGTGTTGTCTAAGTAAGTCCTGGATTAAATATTTTAACAGGCTGAAGGGATTGGCCTGTTCCAGATGATGCAGTTCCACACTGCACATCGGCAGAAGTGGGAGCTGACTATTGAGGGAATATTGTAAATCCTCACACTTATTCTATCCTGTTCACAGTCAAGACCTGCACACCAGATTCCATTCAGGACTGTAACACAACATACATGTAAACCGAAGAAGGAACCATTTCAGGGGTTATGGTATAGTATGTTATTTTGAATTATTCATTTCTCTGTACAACTAGAATACACAAAAGGCTTTCAGAGACCAGAGATGAAGGCTTTAACAAAAGGAGACATTAGGGTCCACTGTCTGTTTTCTGAACTCACATATAAGTGTTTTCTTGCAAGTAATTAAAACCATTGAACTGTACTGAAAACAAATTAAAAATGACTACAAAGTTAAATAGTAATTCATCTTGTTGTTTATATAACTAGGTCACATAATAATATACCTAAGGAATAACTGAAACGGGTCTGACTAGGTCTTGCTTTTTTATATCTACTGCTTGTCACTGCTGTCAATCCTAATGTTCTATGCGGTTAAAATGCAAAATTTTGCGTTGTTAGCAATATGTAATAAAATGTGAGACAGATTTCCAGAGTCACAATACTATAATACTGTCACAATCTCAGCTCATAGATACATATTTCACCATTACACTGGATTCCCAGCCCACAGCATTATTAACACATTATTCTCATGGAAGCAGTCTTCAGAACATATGATTTGACAGTGACATTCAAATTTTCTGTGACCAGTGTTCCTTGACTGAGAACGATTAAAAGGAGAGTTTAAACGTAAATTAAACACTATTCATACATTCCATTGATACACATGATGAGCGGTTACTGTTCATCGCTGCAGATTGTAAAAACACAGAAAAAGTAACATACCTTGTAGAGCTAACAAAGTGCAGAGCAGAAAACAGCAGACAGCTTTCATGATGCTGATCCTTGGGTGTTCTATTAGACAATGAAAAGCAGTTTGTTTGTGTCTAAATCCCTGATCTTAATCTTTGCTATCACAGGCTTGTTCCCCTGCATGGAAGGACAATCGGATTACTCAGTGGCCACTTTGGACAAACTCTTAATGCTGCTCTATCTACAAATCAGAAGAGGAGAAACTACACAAAACACAAAGCAGCCCTTGCCCACCCCTCTTCCTTCATAAAACAGCATGTTCAGTAAAGAAAGGGAGTCTATTATCTCACAAAAATCTGCAGATGCTGTGAATAAAATAGATGTGTAAGTCCTGCCAAGAAAGCCCTTTTCAGAATACTGCCATTGAACTGAAATGTACTTACACAACAAGTTGATCCTTTCTTTGTATAGGATCGTAATGCAACCAGTGGCATGCATCAATTATTAACTAACACTGACCTGAATTGAAAGTATTTTGTAAGAATTACTGTTAGGAGAACAACATATAATAATATTTTTTTAACACAATGATAAACTGTGTACTATGCCTTACAGTATTTGCGTGACTAATGTCAGTGTTTAACAAAACAGGAATTTCACTAAAGCAATGCATTATGAATCACAGAAAAAAACATCTACTCGAAAATCATTATGAGTAGCTGCTTGATTCTGAGAATCTGACCTGTTAGATTTCAATCTTGCCTGTAATTTTCACAGAGAACAATCCCACATAGGGCAACATTCTGAGTTTATTGTAATGTAACTAAGGTATTATACAGAACATAGCTAATCAAATTTCAATATTCTGCATTTACAATGTCCTTTGAAATTTGAGTACATTTGTGTTAGAAATGTAGTCTGATTTTTATAAAATCCTTTTATAAAAAGGATTTTTATAAGATCCTGTTCATATCTTCCAAGTACTGACTGTCTTGCTCAAAATTATGTACATTTACATCCTTACGAGCTGTTTGTATACATTTTTACTATCACTGAATGATGATGTAAGGAATGTTTCTACTGTGGGAATGAGTCAGTGTATCTGAAGTCACGTTTTCTCCCTGTAAAGTGCCAGACCAAAGCAAGAAAAGAGCTTACTTCTACATCCCTTCTAATTCAATCAGCGTAGACAGTCTCTTCAAGCCTCAGTTGCCCTGGTCACCAACACACTGCTTGAATATAGTACATAACAAAACACCAGCAAGAAGTCTTTGAACCTAGAGCCCGAGTGCCAACAGTGCAACCTGATTCTCAGCTCTTAGATTCCCCTCTTCAGACAATGTTGTCATTTTAACAGTAGTTACACTAGTCATGGGCTTCTGCTCCCAAATGGCAGCAGAGATGTCATGATAAGGTTTAATTTAGGTTAGGGTGGCTGTAAGTGCTGCCAGTATTGGATTGCCAAATGATGCTCTGAGTAATGAGTTTAGCTACAACCCCCTATGTGACGGCATGTTAGGTTGAGCTAATTGACTATTGCGGGTCATTTATTTTAAATTGGAGAAAAAGAGAAAGGTCCAAGTAGTATGGTCATATTTCAAGGCTACTTGGCAGTGTTTTACAAATTCCTTTTACAAAAACAAATCCCTTTTGAGACTGAAAAGGTCTTTCTTCATGTCAGAAGGGAATCTCACAATTATTTTTAAGGTTAAGGTTTTGCTCTTCTGCACAGCTAGCCATAGTGGATTGGAACCAGTACAACACTGTCATCTGAAAAACTGCAATCTGGGACCAACATGATGTTTGAGTTTGTGTTGACACAATTACACTGATTTATCATCACCTGCCCCCCCGTGCCCATGGGTCAACTTGCTTAGTCAGGGGTCCTGACTCTTGCTACATCATCCTACCCCCACTAAAATGAATGTCTACAAGCATGACCTGTGTGAGTTGAAGCCAGCAACAAGGAAGGTAAGAAACAAATGCCTTTCTGTGTATTTTAATCTGAGAAGTTTGAAATGCATGAAAAATTGAATGATTTGGGTTTCTGTGAGAATGTTGTGTCATATATTTAGGTTGCAGTATCAGAAGCCACGTGACACTCATCCAATTTTGGATGCAAGGCAAAACTGTCAGCTGTGTGCTAAATGATTAATCCAGTACTTGATGCCACCATAAACTTAATGGAGTGCATAGCCTGTGTCCCAACATCACATTCCAGCTAAAAAGAGCCATGTCCAACAATGCACTGCACAACAGCTCTTGTTCAAGAACTACAGGACTGAACATCTTTATTGCCATATTTATTGCACTTAAAGCAGGTGCTTGAAACCAGCTGGAAGCCTCTTTGGATTCCTTCTCAAGTCATGTTACATCAATAATAGCAGGACTGAGACACTCAGCACCCCCCAAAAAAAAAAAAAAAATATTGTAAAATAAAAAAGAAATTTCCCAGATTTTAAAAAGAAAGCATAAACACAATTTATCTGCAAGTACATGAACCGTTGAATTGATAGACGTATCAAAATCCAAAATTGCAATTATTTTTCCTTTTGTCAGCCAAAATTTTATTTACAATAAGAAGGTACTCTTTCATCTAAGACATGCATTTAGGATTTTGTTCATTTTTTATTCTCACAGCCCTATGTCTTCTGAACTGCTGCGGGATATCACTGTGCAGGCTGTGCCAAGCCTTTCCAAAGTCCTGCACTATTGGTGGCAGTGGCAGGGTGTCCCGACTTCAGGGCTCCTGGTGCCAGTGTCAGCAACACAGTATTCATTCCAGCACCTCACAAGACCCCTGATGCAGGAAACTTGCTACAAATTTGAAGTCTACGAAAACAAAAATCAAAGTGGGTCTTCCTCTCCATGGGCATTACACAACAGTCTCCTTTACAAAATACAGTAGTGCAGATGGCTACGGGAAAACATCCATTCAGTGCTCACAACTTGCCAGCTGTGGAAGTACAGATGATATGGTGTTATCTTCCTCTCCTGATTGTCTCCTCCCCACCCCAAATGGAAAGAGTCCAAGAGAAGGGGTGGCAGTTAGCTCTTTCCCATCTTAGAGATGAGTTCATCGCAGATCTTTGTCAGTTCTTCAATCTCTTTGTTCTTTTGAGAGAAAACAGCAAGATGTTTTAGTGGATTCACTTTAAAATGTGTAGAATGCTGTTTCTAAATACATTAATAGCACTATCATATAAGCATTAATCCAAAGATCCAAGTCTTTATCTAGACTGAGCAAAGCATTCTTAGACCCTGTAGCAGCGAGGTTAGTCACATAGGAATGAATGGTAACATACTGTAATTCAAGTAACTCTATTTATAATGTATGTCTTGGAATAACATTCCAATTTACCAATCTATTCCCATGTATGCTCTTAACCGCAGTGCTCAGAGATTGTTATTTTATCTTTTTAACTCCTCATCAAAAGCTTAGGACTGCAAATGACAAGTGTATCTGGGAAAGCTTTCTAGCATTTACAATCACGATCCCTCTGTTTTGACATTCCAACAAAACCATCACATGGCTTCAATGTATAGTTTCTTAGTACTGGTTTTTGAGTAGCTACAGCACTAAAATGGGAGATCTAACACTATACAGAGAGGGACTCGTGAAGATTAGTCTAGCTGTGAATTCTGTATTCACACAGAGATCAGACTATGTTGGCTAAAAATAGAACAGCTAATGCAAACAAGGTGCTTAACTGTTTAAGGGCCAGACTCCTTTAATTGTTTTTAGAAGCTCATTACATGAAATGGTCTACAAGTATATTTAAATCATTTACTGTGATACATAATGTGTGTACATAAAATTGAGCTTGCTGTTAGAATTTGATTTGTTTAAATTGCAGATTGTGCCAGCTGTACATATATAGTTGTGTATTTCATCTTTCTGAGGTGCAGGGTACCCTGATATTCTATGAGGACCTTATGATGTTGTCTCACTGAAATTAGGAAGTTAGATTAATTTAGAGGGGCACTGGGAGGGAAACACTTTGCCGTTCTACCTTCTGCTCCAGGGTCCTTTCCAGTGACTCCACCCTCATCTGCTCCTTTCTCAGGCTGGCCTGATATGCTGCCTGCTCCTGCTTGGCTTTGGCACGTACCTGGGCAATCTCTGAGTTTGCCCTAGGAGACACACACAGACACGTCGTTATGACTTGCGCTGGACAGACTATAAGACCACAACTACAACATTAATAAATAAAAATAAACTGCTTTGAAGCTCATGCTTTTCAGTTACACTAATGATTTAATGTGGTGAATTAACTTTGATCAGTTCTATTGTGGTCACACACAAGCCAAGTATTGAAAGTAATGGAAAAACAGATGGGGAGTCAGTAGTGTGTAATTCATCCATGTTCTTCTTACACCGGGAGAACCTTGTATGTTGAGAGGACTGTCACACTCAACATTAGCATTAGCTTTTCAGAAAAGATAAAAGGTTTGTGCGGTGTTATTAATTAGACAGTAATGTTATGCTAAGTGTTGAAATTGAGTCAAAGAAACTGAAATAGAAACAGATAAACTCCCTTTATTAAGTTCTCGTGAGCAGAATACAACAAACAGAGGAAGTGGGACATTTAATAAAATGGGACAGGGGAGGCAAGGTGGGTATTTAGTACAGCAGGCAGAGGAAGTGGGTTATTTAGTGAAGGTGGCAGAGGAAAAGGAGGTATTTATTAAACGAGACAGAACATACGAGTTATTAAGTGCAGGGGACAGAGATAGAAGTATACTTACTTGTCCAATTTTTCCTCCGCATGGATCTTCAGGGCCTGGTATCTCTGCTCCTCCTTGCGGACCCTGGACAGATACTCCTGCGCACACTTTTTCAACACTTCCTCATTCTGGACAGAGAGTACAGTGGGTCAGTGGAGCTGCTGAGATTAAGTGCTCACTCCCAATGACAGCTCACATATAGGAGAAGGAGAAACACAGTTTCTCTGACATCTCTCTCTCTAAATGTAACTTCAAACTAAGGCAGCCTCTTATAAAGTTTCATGTATAGAGAGATGTCTAAGGCATTTAAAAGTTCTTCTTCCCAAAAACAAGTAAATGAGTAAAAAAATAGCTACAGTTCACCCCATATCACTGATACACAATCCCAGTTCATCCACCTGAAAACTCTTCAGAAGTATCAAAGTATCAAACATCTCCCCTTTCAAATCCATACCCATCTCTAACCTCTGCCCTCAATCTTATACTCAAGCCTAAGCTTCACCATGTCTAATCCTAACCGAAAATATAAACCTACCCTGAACCCTAAGCCTAACTCTGAAATACAGCTTGTGTACAACCAGCAGGAGCAGCAGATGTTGGGTTATTGCTGGAGAGAGTTTAAGCGTTCAGATTGGCAGCCTGCATGTTTGATTCCACACCCACCTTGCGGAACCCATCCAATACATCCTTCATCTTCTCATAGCGCCGGAACAGGTCAGCCAAGGACTTCTCCACTGAATTCAGGTCAGCCAAAGCCTGCTCCTTCTCCATAATCAGCTGCTGGATGGTGTGGTGGGACAGAGATTTCTCCCTCTGCTCGTCCTCTGATGGACACATACACATGCTGTCACTATTTGAACTTGACCAGGCAGAGACATAGATACACACTGCCACAAGCTGGCAAATTTACACATATATACAGATACTGTTTGTGGCTGTCAGACAGATGCATGGTCACTGTCATTGCTCATTCTCTGCTTTACAGATTGACTGACTCCGAGAGGCTGCTCATCCTGTTTGAAAGGATGAAAGGCAGACAAGATGAACCCTCCTCATTTGTAAATGGACTCCTCATTTGTAACTTTCCTATTTTCCCCATTGGTTATATCTGATAGACAATCAGGCAGATACCCCTTAAACAATATAGCCACTATAAATATATATAGCCACTCACTTTCTTTTCACCTCCACATATATGTATCTACTTTAGAGCTCTGTAAATGTTAGCCATTTTCAGTTTGTAATTTGGCTTGTATTATTAATAAAAAACAGCGTTTTCTGAGCTACAAAGATTAGATCTTAGTGCTCTGAATATATACATGGTTAAATACCCTTCTAGGCTTGGTTTTGTGTCAGCTGATGTGGGTTGCACCTGTAGCTCCACTGGGTTCCAACACAAGTGTTAAGTGTTTCTGTGTATGAAAGACCAAAATAGGGACAGAGGGCCAATATTCAAATTAGGAAGTATGATCTGAAAGGGGATTGGTTGTAGACTGTATCAGGTGCTTTGCTTACTCCTAACAAGACATTAGATAAAACACCTATTAGCTTCTAACAGTCCTGAGAGGAAAAGCACGTTTTGGTTTAATAAAATCAGAAGACTGTCATTCCAAAAGAAGGTTGTTATATGGATCTAAATGTTGTACACTGAAGGGGACCTAGTTTTAGTCACAGTGTAAGTTTTGTTTGCTTTCAAATGGCCTATTAACTCATTTGAGGACACTGAAAACTGTATAAAAAAGCTTAAACATCATAAGAAGGAACCGACTGCATGTTCAGCATGTCCAGTGTTCCCCTGATGTCTGGAGAATGGACAGTGGGCAGTCCTGAAGGGTCAGATGCCAGCAGACCACTGTCTGCTCAAAAGCCAGCACAGCAGAACTGACAGTGAAACATGCAGACCAAACAAACACTCAACAATGCAAAAATTAAACACTTTGGTGAAAAACAGTCCCTTCAGTTGATACGGCGTGATGTCACCACTCCATAGTGAAAACAACAAAAAAATGAAGACTACACAGAGAGTGTTCTGTTTTTTTAAGACGCACATAGTGCATAAAAACATTACTTACCAGGCATGCCTGTTTGGTATATCAAAGAGTAAGGAGCAAAAATGGGAGCAGAACAGAAAAGAAGGGATCGCATTAAGTACAGCCGAAAGGCACTGATGTGAGAGGAGCACTGGACAGAGCTGGGCTCATGCTGCCCTTTCACAGAAGGTTAAAGTGCCAAAAAATGAGGTGGAAAAATAAGATCTGGCAGCAAAAAAAGAGAACATCCTTACTGTTCATGATAAAAAAGAGGAGTGAAATGGATCCAAAAAGAGATGATGAATTGAAAAGCAATTTTCAAATTACAAAATAGAACATCAAAATGATAAAATGATGTGTGAAAGAGTTAGCATAGCAAGGATTAATTCACAAAAGTTGTTTCTGATCAGAGCAGCCACGCTGTTTGCAGGCTTTATTTCCTGGCCTCTCCATTACAGGGCTCTGTTTTATTTGGTGTTATAATACTCACACATCCGGCAGAACTCAGTCTTACTGCCCTCATCAGCAGATGGCACCTGCACTAGTCGTGATTCTTGATTTATTGGTGACATTTTCCAAGCACTTGACTGAAAGCAGGCTGCCAAGGCTTTGATTTAGAAAGATACTCGAAAAGCTGAAAGCATTCAACATTGGTTCACCAATGAATGTACTTCTCAAACTACAAACATCTACAACAGGGCTTTCTGGAGGAGGTGAGATTGGTTGCCCGAATAATGTATCTTGGTGTTTTTCCTGCAGATGTCAATGTTCTCATAGGAATCTGTGATTGTGAGTGAGCATTCTTCCCCCGGTTGCCAAGAACTGGCTGATCACAGAACACAGTGGACATGTGTTGAGAAGTCTTTAAAGTGTTACTTTGGGGGTTTTAACTCCAAATTTGTTAAAAACACCTTAATTGGGAACATGATTTAAGTTCGACACAACCCTAGAAGTAGTCAAATGCTGAGCTTAAAGAAGCTGTGACAGAAGATACCTGAAAAGAATGTGTCCCACTATAGCAAGCTCAGTCTAGTGGTTCACAGTAAGAACAAACTGACAAGCAGCTTGAGTGCTTACCTATCATCTGTGCAATGGTTTTCTCATATTCTGCAACTATCCTCCTGTAAATGACAACAGCAAATCAAATGATTCAATATACCAGTTGTGTTTTGTTACTACATCCCATTCTACCTTATCTGAAGTGTGCTTTAATTTATTTTTTGCTTGCATTGTGTATTTTTAAAGTAAATACATTTAAAACACCACTTAAGCATTAATTGATGAAACTTTTTAAGCACTTGTTTGAAAGCAGGTTGCCAGAGCAGTAAGAAGATTAATAATGATTTAGAGAGCGTCTTAGCCTCTCTTATCCTGAGCCAAATCATGCTAATGAAATAAGAACAGCCTTATCTACACTAATAGAAGGCTGGCCAGCTGGACCAACCCACAGCCTGCTGCTGCCAGGTCAGCGCTCAAAGCTCCAGGCGGCTGATGGTTTATGGAAATCTTTAAGGAAATTCAGGTGCTTTAGGTAAATAAGGTTTACTCCATTGTGCTTTAAAAATATATCCTAATTAGAAGAAACAGTCAGCGTCCAAGAAAGAGGCTCCTGATCTTCGTCATAATCCATGCCAGCTGTACATCCATCCCAACAAAATCGGCTTTCTACCACACACTTGTTTTTTAAAGTGGTTTAATAGAAAATACTGTGCATTACATGTGCACGAAGACAACTACTCTCATTAAGCCTAAGCAAACCAGAAGTAATTACCTCATTTCAACCACTTCCTGTCGGCTTTCTTCATACTTCCTTTGCCATTCAGCTACCTCCTTCTCCTTGGCAACAATCTACAATAGAACACCTCAGTGTCTGAGAATGCAAAAGTCTGAATTCATATTCCACATGTTAATAAAGCTGCAGTCAGAGGATATGGAATTTCCTTGGGCTAATTGGTTTCACTATGGGTATGAGCTCTGGGTAAAGCTTTCACTGTCAGGTTACTGCTGTTGAGCAAACGTCATGGTACCTTCTGGCACCCCTGGCCTGCTTCAAGCATTGCTTCTTTATTAGGTTAAAGAAAGAGAAAGAGATTGAAAAAGAGATTGTGCTAGACTCACGTCTTGACAGTCCCTGTTCAAATATCCACCTGGACGGTTTGGGGAGTCCTGACTATTTCACTCATTGAGGAAACTGTGCAGAGGGTTTGACTGGGGTCATGAATAAAAGCAGGCACATGTATTGCTCAGTGATAAATGAATACTACATATCGAAAACTACCTTGCCTACATTTTGTTAAAACCTCAGTGCTCCAGAAAGGATGCATTTTACCTCTTCCCTGGCAATTTCCAATGAATGGTCGAGATCCCGGGCATTGAACGGGCTTCCCTCTCCTTCACTGAATCCTGTCCTGGAGTACAGGGAACTCTTGGACACTGCACTGTCTGCTGGGGACAGGGCTTCTCTCTGCTGCTCTCACAGAGAAGAAACACAAGAGAAGCATTAGGCAGGATCACCACACAGAGGGACCGTGAGGAAGATGCAAGAGGTAGAGTTGAGAGGACACCTCAGGGTTAGATGTGGAGAGCTCAGCATCAAGCTTGCAGGCTTCTCTTTGCTAGTACAATGTTTGTTACAGAGATAGGTCTGCCAAGGATGAAGATTACTTCCACTGCACTGCTTATGAAGACCACCTATGTCATCCATCTAATGAATGAAAGATGAAACTATACCATCAAAAGCATCTAGCTATAAATTGCAGCTGTCTACAAACCTGCTAAAAACTGTCTGAAAAGAAAGGTGATTTTTAAAGATATTTTGGGTACCTAAATAAATATCAATATTGTGACTTGATCTCCTCATTGGTTTTCATAGCATTTTTATGTCTGTGCCTTTTCAACTCAAAGAGAGGTGATCAATATGGAATGAATAGTAGTTTAACTTGCAAGTTTGCTCACCTGTGCAATTTTCACACTGGGATTACCAGTAAAAATGCAACTTCAGAAATGAGTATAACAGCACCTCTGTTTGAGCATGAATCATGGAAGTGTGAACGTTGTGCTTGTCAGCTGAAATCTGTATAGTGTATATATATGTGTTATAGTGCAACACATAAGGCATGTCTGCTTGAAAGCAATTCCATATTCCAGCATTGCGTTTAATATTTAATGTCTGGATGGTTTATACCGTTAATACATCCAAAACTCTCACAGTTTCTCACCTTTGAAGGAATGTGAGCTTGTATTTAAGTCAAATTAATTCAAATCTAATTTATACATATAGGTGTCTTATATTGAATATATTGTCTAGCAACTGTAAACTATCGATTGTTATCGAGGTTTAAAGCAAAGAATGTAAAGGAGGCCAGACAATGCAGGTACAGTGTTAGGAATGCAAACTCCCTGCTCTGCAGACATGCACAGTGGGGCAAGGGAATCAGTGTGAGGACTGGGATACAGAGTGGTAAATCTTTTCTAAAGTCTAGTAGACATTAGGCCTCACTAAAGGCTGGGTTAAGTATCCTATTATTAATAAAACAAGCAGTCTCTGAAATATACCTAATTATCAACTCCAGACTCAGAAAACCTACAGAATGCAAGTTACAATGCTCCTTAGAATTACTTAAATGCAGCTAATGCAGGAAGTGTGAAAAGAGTACATCAGTTAAGAGTAAGACACCTACTAAGGAGTGGAGGAAAACTTAAAGATTAGATGAAACCTATAGAGCAGCACTCTATACTCCACAGCCTGGGCACAGCACAATGGACAGAATGAACGCTGTTTCATCACAAAACAGCATTTTATACGTTATGCACCTTCAGTCTACGAGCTCCAAGTACTGGAACAGTTTGTGTGCGCTACGTTATAAGAAAATAAAACAAAAATATTCAGTATTTAAATTAGATAGACATGACAGTAGTTAAATCTAGCATTTAGAAGAATGGAGTGTGTCTTGTAAATATTGTGGTATAGCTGTCCAAGAGGATGCTAGTTCCTTAGAGTTTTCAGAGATTTATACCCTCTAATATCAAAGCTCTAACGCATTACTAAAAAACTAGGCTGTTTTTTTTTAGGATGATAACAGTGTTCACCTGGGCTTAGTTTGCCATCAGATTTTACCTGGACTCTGGCTGGCACAATAAGTTTAAGGAATTGCAGGTGGATAATAACGTAACGTACCCTAGATGTTGCATACACAACAGATTAGAATATGGGGCTTGGTGAATGTAACCTTTGAAACAGGATTAGAACTAATTGGACTAAACCAACAATATCTTTATGCAGTAACCTACAGTATGTGGATGGAGATGCAGTACATCAGGGAAAATGATGCAGCTCTCCAGCCCTCCCATAGGAAGATGAAAGCCCATTGGTGGAAATTTGTCCTGCTTAAAACTGTTCTCACACACAGCAAAGTTGAATGTAATTGTTGTTTTAGCTTTTTCTTGAAATAGCAAAAATAAAACTACTAGGAACCAGAGGATTAATTTTACTAGAGAAAAAAAGCTTGAAAAATATTTCCACAGTTAGGCCACAGCTCAGTGTTACTGGAAATTCAGAAATGGCGAAAACAGCCCTCATCTGTAGAACTGCAGAATGTGGGTGGTGGAAAACTACAGTGAAATACCTTTGAAGAGAAAGTCGTCTTGTGACAAAGCTTGGCTCCTGTTTGAGCTGGGACACTCACTGCTTTCTGGGAAGCAATCAAAGAATTACAGAAACTAACATATACTCAGCACAACATGTCCTTTGCAAGGAAATGTGCTAAGAGCTAGGGATGGCAAAGATATCCAGGGTGAAAAGGTAGACTTTGGCATTGTTACCTCCTTCTCAATGCTTCAGTGGCTTCTGTATTGGTCCTGTTGGCTGCATTCTTTAAAGTGTTCTGTTCTAAATTTAAAACTAAGATGGCAGTGCCATTCTCAGGCAGCATCTGTTGAATCTGTCAAAGTGTGCAAAACAGCATTCAACAGATTCATTGCCCTTTCATTGTCATGTCTAGACTCCACAATGATGGCTATCAAATGCACAGTGTTCTGTGGTGGTTTTGTCCATTTAGCCAATAAAAAGGAGAGCCTTTCTTACTAGCAAGGAGTGGGGAAGTGGGGAAGCAGGAATGTTTGTGTGGGGTGAACAATCCACAGAGAGGGGGGCGGGGGGGGCAGGGTCTCTTCTCTTACTTTTATTGGCTGTGAACTATCCGGTTTCCATTTCCTCATGGTTGGCTTCTTCCGGCAGGACTGGAATATGTGAGACAAGGCAGGTGGTGATGCTTGGGACACGAATCATGAGGGGACTTACTGTGAAAGCCTGTTATACCATCAGGCATACCATATACCATATGGGCAGGAAAACTAAGGGAGCCAATGAAACAACACTAGTTCTCACTGCACTGTAGCATAACTAACCACAGAATTCATAATGAGCAGCACTGTTATGAAGGGCTTGGGAGAAGAGAACAGCAACCTATGCAGACTATTCAGGTGTTCTTCTTATATCTCGAGTAGTTGCAGTGCACCCAGAAGAACCTGGAACAGTCCTGAGATACGGTCTGTGTTCTCACAGAAGGTACAGGACACCAGACATGCTTTCTTCCTCACATCAGCCATAAAGTCTATCCATTTATGGCTTCTGTCACCCTCAATGGCTGCTGAGAGAGTTCCAGTGAATGTGCACAAGAATCTACACTGCTGACAGCCACTAAATTCTTCATTGCAAGTAGAATTCAGGTGCATGAACACTAACTTAGCTCCTTGAGTCTGAAATGTATACTGTACTATTGCACTGAGTGCACTATTTTCAAGACATTTCCTTCAATAATGAATATACTGTATACTACATTTGCAAGTCAAAAAGAAACTGCAGTTTCCTGGAAGAAGTATAACTGATGATCACAAATGTTTTTTCTTAATCTAACAAGAAGACGTAGACCTCGTATGATAGTAATGACAGTCGTCAGTGGGATAAGAGGAACATCTACTGGTACATCAGTTTTGACTCAGTTGAGTATTCATCAAGTTAACCTATAATCCTCAGAGAGCTTCTTGGCTTTGAATCCATCTGGGAGCCTCAGTGCAAACAAGCACTGTGTGCCTAGCCTCCTGCCCTGTGATGGGGTCTGCAGTCCTCCAACAGTCTCAGCACCAGCCAGCTCTCAGCTCAATTGTTGGTTGGTGGTCATGTGACTGGCAGGATTAACACTAATCAGACATGCCAAGCCAATCCCCTCGGCATCTGTAATTCTCAGTGAGTCCGTCAGCAGGGAGTAGACTTCGGTACCACAGAATACAACAACAGCTCTCCTTTTCCCTTGTTTCACAACACCACTTCAGCACTATTTGCCTCGCCAAGCAAGCCGTCTACTCTGAGACACCTCTATCAAAGGCTAGCACACTCAATAAAAACACCACAGATTCCTATCGTAAATTAGTGGTCCATGGGGACTACTCCAGTTATCACTCTTGCTGAATTCTCAAAACATCCTGAATTCACTAATTGATTAAATGAAGTCACCTACTCCTCCGAAAACACTTGGAATTTCCTTTGCCTCAATGTGACGAAGACCTTGGACAAAATACAGCCTGATTTTTTTTTATTTGATTGTTTTTTTTTAATAGAATTATTTGTGTTTCCGTGTTTTTTACAAAGTTAACGTAGTCAGAAAGTATTGAGAAAAGTCAAATGAGGACTGCAGATTAGCCTGCACCAGAACCAGGGTAATGAATAGGGTTGAGATGCTATTGTTTTATTATTTAAATTTTGACTATTTCAAATAAGCATGCATTTAATCAGCAAATTCCTAAAGCTCTTACACTGGGATATTTACTGAGGGAACACAAATAAACTATTGTTCAAAGTTAAACACAGAACCATTTATTCCGCCGGTCACTAAAGGGTACATCTTGTCAAAAAGAAAGGATGATTCAGCTCACAGCACCATGTGCGAAGGTAATGCCCCAAAAAAAACAGAGTCAAGCATTTACAGAATATGAACGGGGATTTCATACCAACCACAAATCTGTTCGTTGAACATCTCTTTTAATCACACATGGAGCTAAAGTGCTAAATATCACAGTATGAGAACGAAGAAAGGAACCTAGTAAGAAGTGAATGAGATCCTGGATGAGAATAAAGAGCCTGTTGCTCTTGAATCCAGAGTTTTGGACTGCCAGGTGAGAAACACATAATTAATCCCTATTAAAGATGCAGGCCTGTCTGTACTCTGTTACTCTGCTATTAGTGATGGTTAGTAGGATTCATCTGAAAACAAAAGGGCGAAATGGGATGTTTGCCAGTGCTGGAGGGATTAATTTGTCACATCCGTATTCTAGACATTGAAGATATTTAAGTGATATAGCAGGGCAGTCTGATGTTTCATTAAACCAATTTACCAATTCCATGGCCTGCTCATCTGTCAATTTTAGTGAGGAATTATGGGATTTTAATAATCCAGTCCAGAGTGTAATATCCCAAGTCACCTTGATGTTCTTATATCCTCCCTCAGGACTGCAGGCAGGTACAGTAGCATGCAAGTCACTAAAGGGCTGACCAGAAAGAAACGCAAACAGTAGCTCAATTAAGGGTGGCCCTACGAGATGCAAATGTTGCTGCAGTCATCTCATGTAAGGGGCTATGCCATATCCAAAAGGTTTCATGGCTTCCAGCACACCTGTAAACAAGCCACTCAGGGGCGGGATTCACTGGGTTATACACACACACACCAGAACAAGGCACAATGCAGTACCTCGCTGTCTACAGAGGAGCGTGAGGAGGACTGGGAGATCTGATTGGCTACCTTCAGGGCTTCTATCCTCATTGCTGCCAGCACTAGTTCCTCCTACCAAGGTGGGAGGTGTGTGTTTATAGAGGAGAAAGGTGGTTAGAGCACAAATACTCCCTGCTTAACCTTAGTTGCCTGTAGTTACCCTGCGTCATTTTTTACTTTCACCTTGGTTTTCATATTTTGTGATTAACCTTGATTGTGCAACACGTTCGTATGTTTTTTATCATGTATTCACTGTACACCAATGTAGTGGCTTCTAAATTGTGACAATGTGATTTACCCTAGTAAATATTTAAAGGATTGTGCAATGCTAACCTAAACAATTTTACTCAGGTAAATCACAACATTGTTCTGTATGAATGTCTAAGGAACACCTTCCACATCTGTGGATAGAAAACTAGGGGCAGGGACCTAAAGAAAATTAAATCAAAGAATGACACAAATAAATGCAACTGTGCGATGTGTTTTCAGCGTAGTTTCCAGAGAGCAGCAGGAGGTATCCTAAGGATTGATCTAGTCTTTCTGCTCTGATACACACCTGCAGCTTTTGAGCGAAGACTGGGGGGTTGGTTTCAGCCAGGTCGGGCTCCAGGTAGTGGAGAGGTGCACTGGGCTCCGTGTGGAGGGACAGTCTATCTAACAGAGTGCAGTCAGGGTCTGCCAGCTCCTCGGGGGGAGTCTACAGGGGGAGGGAAGGACAGGGGCTCATGGAATACAAAGTCAACTACAGGAAGAGGAGAGGGAGAAGGCTGAAGGCACAACACTCACTATTTACAATGTGGGGCACATTTTGATACAGGTTTCATTGGCACAGCAAAAGGTCATAACACTTTCATTCCTCCAACACAAAAAACAAATATTTCAGGTGGTACTGAACAAAATCAATGAAGAGCTCGCAGTGACAAAGACCTGTCCTGGAATTAACCTCAGGAGCCTTCCACAGCACAGATCACTAACAAATATCCCAACACTGTCCTCTTGTGGTAACAGCAAAGAATCTCAAGCTAGACTGAAAATGAAACCACAAGATTACATCATTTTTTTCCAGGAGAGAATCAACCATGTAAACAATGGTAATAACTCATTCAGCAGAAATACACTTTTCTGTAATATGTTCACAGTCCTTCCTCTACTGTGTATAGTCAGCCAAAGTGTGTAAGTGGGTAAGTAAAATGCTACACTAGAGCTTGCTAGGCATTTCACTACAAGTGCTTGGCATGAACAGTTCTTTAACTGTATGAGTAATTATCTTTTAATTACATTATATATTGCTTAAGTAATTAAGGTGTTGAATGTACCTAAGAGCTTCAACAAAACAGATTGTCTCTTTTGCTGCATCCTTCGAGGAATAATGCACAGCACTTACTTCCATTTTTGGACACTGAGTATTCCAGGGGGAAGATAGGTTGAGAGTCAAAGTTCATATTCTCCAGTATAATTATAGTTCTGTGAATAGAGCTTTGTGTGATCTGACCTTCTCCTTCAGAATGCTGCTTTATAAACCCATACCCCTTCCCCCTTCCACTGCTGTCATACTGCCACCAGTCCCCTTGAGACACCGTTCTGCTGCCCTTTCACTTACCACCTCCTCTCTGTCGCTGGCTGTGGCTGAGCTCAGCAGCTCGCTCTCTTGGTTATTGCTCTTTTCAGCAGACATGACATCCAGGACCATATTGGCAGAGAGAGAGGACTTCACCCCACTGGATAACTGAGCTTCCACCTCCTCGTAACTCAGCCTGCCCGGAGCAGAAAGAAAGAGATGTTGCACACCAAGGTGATGATGACTTGTGAGACAGGTGCCGCTGTGCAAGACCTCAGTCTCTATGCCTCCGCAGTACTAGACTCAAGCCATAGTCACTAAAGAAAGAAAATGATACTACTGTATATAATAGTCATTATGATCAGGTTAAGAATATTGCTACTAGTGATCTTTGAATAACTTTCAAAAAGTATTTTAATGTTTCTGAAATTTAGTTTTAAATCATGACAAGCAGGGGAGTCATTTTTGAAAGATTATTTAAATGCTAGCTTCTGAATGAGAATTCCTCACACATTGCTACTGGAACTAGTTGTGCCTGTAACAAGGCCCTTACCCTGAGCAGGGGGTAGAGGGCTCAGATGCCCGGACACATGAGCCCATGGAGGGGCTGTCCTTCACAGAGTCCAGCTTCAGGTACATAGGGGGCTTCTTCCCTGAAGAGAGGGTCTGCTGCAGAAACAAAGACAGACACCATGTTGACCACCATGACCCTACTGCTACTCTGCTTGTTCTCAACCATGAATATTCAAAACTCCTGCTCCCAAACATGTCCGTCAGTCCTGTTATTCAACCCAGGCCATCCTTTTCTCTTCTTTTCACTTCCAGGTTCTCACAAGACACACTCTTTTGTGTCAACTCCTGTTACTCTGTAGGTTCAGAATCAGAGAACTGCTTTTCAATTTCTCCTAACACAAAGAGATAGTTTTGGTCATTAAATAGCTGCATAAACAACTACAATATATTGACACTGTCATATTTATAAACCATCATAAAGACAAGAAAGGACTTGTTGTCCAACTGTTTTCACACATCACTTTCAGTAATGAATGTTGCTATCCCTCATTGTCACGGGAAGATTTATAATTTGGTAATTACTAAGAGATGATTGCTCAATTAAGGTTTAGAGGAGTTTTAGTGAAGAGGTTTGACAGGCATCATAATGCTTCTGAGTGAAGACCAGATTAGTTGGGTTGTTCCAGCTCCCCTATGAATTTTGCAGGGCCCTAATCATACATAGTAAATAATACATTCTGGCAGGCAACCCCCCTTTCAATGGCTGGAAGACCAGCTGCCAGGCAGGCAGGCTTCTCCACACTGATGGCACATTCAAGACCTGCCTGCCTGTCAGCATGTTTCTCTCACTCATGAAGGGGAGAGGGTTGTCTTTCACTCAACACACATCTCTTTTAGGAACGGGGTGTGCCATCAGGCTGATACTCACTGAAGCTGAAGAGCCGATCTTCTCCATGTACTCAATTTCATAGTCTGGCACTGGGGAACAAACAAAGTATACAGTATGAATAATAATGCTCACAATACATCTGCAGCTACTGAAAGTTACCACTAATAAGAAGAGTATGTTCTCAGGGAAGTACCATTTTATTAACTGTTCCATTTACTGTCATGAATATTGTATTAAGTCCAAGGTCTGGGTCAGAGTCCAGGCATGGAGAACAGTGAAGTCAGACTGAGCTGGGAGACAGATTGACACAGCAGTCATTCTTCAAAATGACAGTCTGCTGCTGTCAGTTCACACAGCACACACTAGTGATCTCTGCTGTGTCTGAACACAGCACAGACCTTGGAGACAGCTTTCAGATGCACTAACGGAGAACGGAAAACAATGGAATGACTCTTTAGTACATTATTTCTCAGCATTCAGTTACAAACAGCCTGGAAAATGCCAAAAATCCCAACAACAGATCTTTTTCTGCACTATTCCACTGTGAATATTTATCTACATGAAGGTTGAAATAGATTCAGATTTTCATTCTTACAGGTAGAGGAGTGGCTTTCAGGTTGATCAATACATACATTTACAAAAGATCTGCACCAAGAAAACTCATTGACAGATGAAAAACCAAACTAAAGAACATTTGGGTACATGTAGACAGAGCACTCTGGTCTGAAACAGAGCATGACCAGGAGACCTCTTCACAGAGCATTTGCAGGAATCAAAGAGATAATACAGGGGGGACTCCAGAGTGCATGCCACCTGACATACAGACCAGCCACCTGAGTGTGGCATGAAGAGTATCATGCCTGAAGGACTGTGAGAAAGCTGGGAAGCTACACACTGATTCCACATAGTCTTAATATTAACATCAATTTTGTGTCTTAAGAAGACAACACTGCATGCTAAAAAATAATTTAAATTAGTGAGTGAATTAAGCATCAAAGAACAATGACATTAAGGATGAAGATTTATTGTTCAATTTATAATTTGCAGATTAGAACTTTAGCTGCATAAACCTGTTCGATTCCATTTTAAAATGACTCCTGTGATGGCTTTTGCTCCATGATTACTGCAATAATCTTTATGTATGTGCCTTTAGGCCTGTCAGATTCCATCTGTTGGGGGGAAGGGTAAGGAGTTATTCCTTGGGGAAGCGTGTAAATAATAGAGAATTTAATTCTTTAACAGAGATTAAATCTATCACCACTTTCTCTCAACCTCATTAACATTAGAACATGTATAATGTATAAGAAGAGCAATTAACATGTAGCAATGAAATAGTGTACTCACACTTCTTTGCTCTCAGGGGAGGTTTTAGTTGTAATCTCTATGGGAATGAATGCCTTAACACCAATTTGTTCAGGATGCAGAGTAGTATAAAATGACCACTGCAGCGCAGAACGATCTACAAACTTCACTGTACCAACTGCCAATCTCCACTCCACTGCAGGAAATGGCACAGTAGTCATAATTTTATGGACATAGTCAAGACAGGTCTTAATCTCATGAACTATTTCGCCACAATTCCACGCTTATAGACAGACATTTCATCAACCATAGTTTCTGGTACAATGTATCTTTCCTGTTCACAGTGAACAAAGAGATACAAACCTTTAGTATGTGGCAAGATACCTTAAGTTTTCCACTCCATTAGTCTTCAAGTCTTTGTTCCAAGCAGGGTAGTGGAATGGAAAAGCCAGAAACAGGTAAGAAATTAATGACCAATTAACTAATTAAAGCCCTGATTGGAACACGTCCAGTACTCACTGGACGTGAGAAGTTACTCACCCCTACCCTAAGCTTCTTAGCCTCTCCCCAAAGAACCTCTAGCTTGTGCTGCACCCCTATCCCAGGTCTTACCATCAGCTGGCGAGGGGAAGCTGTTCTCATTGACAAAGGTGGAGAGATCGGAGGGCTGGGGGTAGTCCTGTGTGTCCAAGTCGAGCTCTGTCCCCACCCCTTGAAATGTCCACTTCTGATTGCAGGAGGAGGCAAGCTTCTCCTCATCGGTGGCATGGTCCTCAGAGGGGATGACAGGAGGGGCATCAGGCGTGGATAGGGGCGTGGCATCCTGGGGACAGGAAAAGAGTGGACTGTGAGACCACATAGCACACCCTCTGATCACAGCACTGCCACAAAGGTGACAGTCATATTAAACCTCATGATGTGACACTTTAACGTATGATTGAACAGTGCCTTTGTGTATCCTTTAATGAATACATACAGCATTTAAAATGTATACTAGAACTAAGAAGGCTGAAAGTAAGACAGACCAACTGTGTAGCTCTACATAGAAGAGGTAGACATCACAAGATATTCACAGGAAGCCTGAGAATACAGGAAGTAGAACACAGGGCAGACAGACACCATGTGAGCAGACAAAGGGAATGGGGGAGAAGGGGACACAGTGTGCACTTACCTGGGACGACTGCTCTGACAGGGGAGACCTCTTTGGGGACTTCTTCACTCTGAATGTATTACTGAAAAAGTACAGCAGACACCACATGAGCCCTGGGCTTCCCTGACCATTTACAACTCTGAAACCAAAATGCAAGCAACAGCTGGATTTTCAGGGAAGGGATATTACTCAAGATTTGGGTTTTAAATTAGTTCAGTAAGAAAACAGAGAAAGAGGTGGAAAGAGAAAGGAGGAAATGGGGAACAAAAAACAAAAACAGTTGTTGAAAAACAGCCAAAACTATGCTGCAGTACCTCAGACACTGGCCTGCCACATATTTTCCTCTGTTCATTCAGATTGATGAATAGATCCATCCTCACCTCTGCACTGCACTGCTGTGCCAAGGGTGTTGTTTCAATAAATATTGGGGATTTCACTGCATGACAAATTAAACACAGCTCCATACCAGTGCAAGGCTTTCACATTCTTTCTACTGCCCCTCTGACATGAACTATTCCTCCCTATATCTATGTTCACTTTGTGTTTGTATCGAACCCCAAGATAGCCACCTTGTTGTTGTTTAACCATGTAAGAGAGAACAAAGGAGAATAGTGGCATACTACTGCTTTAAGGATCTTATGTAAAACATATATAAATATGTTAATGCATTTCATGAATGCAAAATTCCTGAATCGGGTACTGTAATAGTGTCTGGTATGACCATCTTCAACTGCAGTCTTCTAGGAATTGCTGCATAGTTTGCTCCATCCCACAGAAACAAAGAGGGCTTGCACTAATTCCCCATCTATGGGGGCTGGCAAGACATGGACCATGACCAGTTCTAAAGCGGTTCAGAGTGGACCACTCTGTTCTTGGAAGGTGAAAGCCGGAAGGTTGTTGAGTAGGACATAAATAGATAGTTTGTTAAGTGAAGTGATTCCCAATCTGGAGACCAGGTGGACTCTACATTGAAATATTGTTGGGGAGGGTTTTTCCAGATTGGCTTTCTTGAAGACAGATATGTCTTTGGTAGATTAAATATATCCTAGTGTAGTGGCAGGTAAAGAGCGTTTAGGACTTTTTTGAGCATTTTGTGGGTGGAGAATTAATGTTTGGTAAAACAGGGAGAATGGAGTGGAGCAAACATTTGAGTGATGATGTTGAGCATGGTGGCATTCAGCTGGATGTCTGCTCTGTGGGTATGTGATGATCTTGACCCAGCAGGGCCGCAGTGTTCTGCTGTTAACAGAGCCAGTGCAAGGGCTGAGGTCTGGAGGGTGGTAGTGGAAGCGCCCCATGTTGTACTAGCAAGATTGAAGATCAGATTGTTCCTTGTTTTAAACCTTGGCTGCTTATGTCTTTAAGTATTCACGGAAGGTCAGCGTCCTGTCTAGGGTCACTGCAAGGTATCCTGGAGTAGGATGGTGCTTTAATTTCTTTGCAACTCTGTAGGACTGTTGAGTTTCTTTGTAGCTTTAGAATTGTGGAAGAGGAATAGACTGGATACATTCTTGCAGGTCTCAGTTTGAGTCAACATTGTTTGCAGTTCAAGTTTTGATGTGTTCTCATTTATGACCTGTTTCAAGGTACCATAACTCAAGGTTTGTGTTGCCAGACAAATGTTAATTTTGGGATGTGGTTTTTGGGGGTTCATTCATGTACAGACTATACAGGATGGGAGCCAATATCAATCTTTGAGGGACTCCATTTGTCTGTCATCCCCATGTGTTTACTTCCTGTCCAATGTGAATTCTGTATTGTCTGTTGCTCAGCAATGGCTTCAATAGAGGATCGGAGAGACTGTGCCGTAAGCTGCTGTGAGGTCGAGGAACACAACACCTGACTTCAGGCTTTTCTGAAAGCTATTTTCAAAGGTGCTGAGAAACCAATACCTGTTCTGTTGTGCTGCATTCCTTGCAGAAACCAGCCTTGTCCACACTGAGGACTTCTTCAACATCTGGTGTTACGTGTTGGAAAATAAAGTGCTCAAAGATTTTGTCAGGGACTGACAATAGGGGAATCGGGCAGTGGATGGAAAGTTTGGGTCTTTTCCAGTTTTTGCTATGGCAATGAATTTTGCACTCTGCCATATCTTTGGGCTGGTGTTGGGTTGTGTACTGTATGAAGAGATTGTATTATACTGTAATATGGAGATATTTCCCAGAATTCCCAGAAGTGTTCAAACCCATCCACGGCAAGAGACCAGCCTTTGGGTTTATTGGGTTTGTTGCTCTCCTGTGTTTGCAGTGGAGGCTGGGCACTCGGTGGTGCCTGAAAGCCAACAGTTATATATGTATGTCAATAAGAATATAATCAGTTATAATAGACACAATCATGCTGTACAATGCATTAAATATATGTGCGTGTAAATTTAAAAAGGACAAGTTTTCTGACATACTTCAAATGAAATCTGGTGGGCTAATATGGTGGCAGTGCCTTGCTGAGCTGACACAGAATAAAGAGGAGTTTCCTGTGTTTACAGATGAGAAAAAGGAATTGAATGTTGATAGCCCTCTCATCTCCTCTTCTTCAGGAATACAGCTGTGACCAGAGCATGAAAAGTGTTGCTGTCAACTCAAGCTTCAATCCACTAAAGCTTCTGCAGCTGGGCGTTTGAGATTGGGGCTCCTTTACATCAGGAATGACAATCAGGCACCAGCTGCAGAGCAGATTGACCACTTTCCATTACCATGTAATGGGTCAAAACTGAGAATGTTATGTAGACCTTTGGATTCATTCCTGAGTTTCATATCTACCACTGGTTTGTTGGGAGGGTCCTTAATGTGCTTAATGATAGGACACAAGTGAGTTAATAAGATAAAGAGGATAGATATACCAGCATGGGGGGGCTGACTGGTTACTGCACTGATGGCCCTGACTGCAGGTCTGTACTTAAGTTACTAAAAAGGGGTTATTAAAAAAAACTTTTCCTAATGAAACCTCCTGACATGTTCAGTCATTTTATCACTAAGGATTGTTATTGAGATGATTACAGACTCAATGTGAATTGTCCTAATTATACAGATGTGGCAACACCATCATAAAATTGGTTTATAGCAGTAATTACATTGGAGCACAGTGACCTCATTCCCTCTTATGTGTAATAAGGCAGTCAAGCGTCAGTGTAATACACTAATTAGCATGGAAAGTGTTTTCTTGTTATATTTATAACAATTCTGTTTTCTTTAATGCCACTGATTGGTGAAGTCAGACTCAACATTGCTTATGGAAAGGCAGAAAGTGTCTCATTCATCAGCAGTCTAACAAAATCCAAGGAAAGTGACAGAAGAGAAATTAAATGTAACTGCAACGTAACTGACTTTCCTCATGGGCTCTGTTTAACTGAGATTTCTTATAATGAGTCACTACTCAATATATACCATGGAAACACTATCACATTAATTCAATCCTCTCTTTTCTTTAGAATCATGCAGAACATAAACAATAAAAACAGTTTGTGGTGTTTACATTAGCTCACTAAAGAAGACACAACAGTTGCTTTTTGGCACTCAAAGCAGGAAGAGCTGGGACAAAGACAAACAACGGATCATCTCACACTCATTCAACAGCTCTAGGTCTTTCCAATGTGTATTTCAAACAGCAATCTGTTTGACAAACAGCCTGCAGAGAGTGAATAAAGCCTGCCCTATGAAGATGGTGTTTGGCTTCTCCAAAGGAAATGTACTCAATAAATATTCATGAGTTCTGACAGGCAGGCTCTCGTTAGAGCTGTACAGGCACCAGTTGTAGTGCATTTGAAAACCAGACGTCCTCAGATTTGTTGAGCTCCAAGACAACATGCTGAGAATATGTGAGACTGGAATGGTGATAGAGATAAACCCCTGCCAAGTGAATCTGACAGGGGAGACGACGTGGGACAAAAGAACAGCTTTTCATCACCACTTGGGGAAATAACTGCGCATCCTCCCTGCTGCCATCAATTTCCAGATTCATTAAACACGAATACTCCATGCCTTGTCATGACCGTGTGCTACACACCAAAGTGCCATATTTATTTAAGTTACCTTAATGCAATAATATTAACAATCATGGTTTAACCCTCATTGTACGTTCAGAGACCTCTGCCTTTCTCCTACTAAAAAATATTTTATTTAGAAGGCACTTAATTACACTGCTGCAGTAATGGGAAGAGCTCATTTATTGTTGTGCCTTTAGCAGTCTGTTTAGACCATTAACTATCTATTTGTAAAACTGCAAGCCAGTGAGGCAGGGGTGGTGGATAGAGGGTCTTCCATTAAAAGCGATGAGGTTAGGGACGGAAGCTTGCAGTTAACTAAAGCCACAGCAGGGAATAGAGAGCAGGGCATGCTAAGCCTAGTCACTGTATATATTTCTCAGCAGTGGAACTTGATTTGAGGTACTTACAACAGACAACACAGAGACATCACATCTGCGAGCATCCTGTGACACACGAAAACACACAGAGAGGTGACAGACAGACAGACAGAAGACACTAACAAAGGAGTTGCACTGACAGACACACAGACTACACAAAGTCAAAGTCTTGAAAATAGCTAGAAAAAAATCTTAATGCTGAGTATTATGCCATGGAACTTGTGCATGTTCTTTATATGCTGTACAATCACGTAAGGAAAATATCCGGGAGAACCTGACAATACTGTGTTGTCTGAGTAGTTAGTGACAATAAACGTCATAGGGCTAAAGTCTAGAGTATATGAAAAGGTCTGAGTAACCAATACCCAGAGAGTAAACTCTGATGACCTCTCTTATGTGACATCACCAGGAATACCTCTACTGTGCACACTTCATGAACCACACAGGAAAGATGTTTTTCTCTATTACATAAAGCCACAAGGCAAAAACAAATAAAAGCAAACAGAAGATGAATTAGTCAGAAAGCTTCTACTTACGTCTTTATTGGAGTCTTCTTTTTCTTTACAGGCTTGTTTTGATTGGCTTCGTCGATCCCATTTGTCTCATTGTCATTGGCGGGCACCTCAAAGGAGGCAGAGTTCTTAGGAGGAGAGTTCCCCAACTTGTTTGATGGCTTGAATGGGTCAATGGAGTCATCAAAAGTATCTAGGTCAAAGTTATAATTGCCCTGGATCTGCTTGGGTGAATTGGGGATGGCATTGTTTGAGGAGAAAGGGTTGAAGTTGGGATCCTCCCACTTGCTGGGATCAAAGTTGTAGGAGACCTTTGGGATAGGGATCTCATCACTATCAGTGGACTGTGGGGGCGGAGCATTATCCACTGCAGGGGGCTTTTTACCCCCTAACTTTGGCTTCCTTAGAGGCATCTTGGCACCCGGCTTCTTTCCCAGTCTCTTGGGAGGAGGGGTGCCGTCCCGTGACGTCTCTCCACTCTCACGCTCCTCTGAGTAGTCAAACTCCAGCCTGACTGATTGCCGCTTGTTCAGAGGAGTCTCCTCTATGCTTGCAGGAGGAACAGGATTGTCTGGAGCCTCGGGAGGTTCAGAAGCTGCACTGAATGCTATCCCTTTCCTGCAAGCAACAGGTGAGTTGGGTACTTTGCTGCCTCCTGTGCAGAATGGATTTATCTCCTCAAAGTTGTCAGGGTCCCACTTGTATGTGGCTTTGGGAGGTATAGGGAGATCCTCGTCTGGGACTGGCGGACTGGCTGAAGGACAGGCTTGCTCAGGGGGAGGCAGAGACTGTATCTCCTCCGACTTTGCTTTTACTGTCTCGGCACCAGACCCTTCTATTTCAGTGATGCTTTCGGCCGTCTTGGGAGTGATTTCAGGTTTCTGTTTTGTCTTGGTCTTCCTCTTCACAGATACCTCCGAGCTAGCAGGGGATAAACTCTCTTCCTCTCGGTTCTGGGGTGGACTCTCGGGCCTTGGTTTTGCTTTCTTCTTCCCAGAGCCCTCAAGGCCACAGTCAGGGACAATCTTCTCATCGGGAGGACTCTGTGGAGGACTTTCGACCTTCTGTTTGACTGAGGGTCTCTTCTTCAGAGATGCAGGCCTGGGCTTCTTGGTCTTTCTGAGTGTACCGGGTGCACTCTCTGTCCCCACGCTGAAGGCCTCAGAACGGAGCTGTGATCTGTCCGGTCCTGAAACGTCCTCCTTCCCCGCCCCGTCGAACTCCCCTGCCTGCAGGCTAAGAGAACGAGTCAAGGGGCACCTGGAGACTGGCAGGGAGTCTGTGGACCTCCGGCGGCTGTGATTCTTGGGATCAGAGCTGTACTGGTCTGGGGAACCAGGGAAAAGCGTGGAAATCTGAAATTGGTCAACAGTCTCAAGGTTCTCAAAGTTATAGGTGCCACTGCTGGCTATGGGCTTGTCCTCATCAAAGACACTGGAGAAAGATCGGCAGGGTGGACGGAAGGGGGGTTCAGAGACCGGCTCGCTGAGAGTAACATCAGGGCCAGAGGCAAAGTCTGAGCAGAAGCCTGTAAAGGCATATTACAAGGCACATCGTCACCAAAGCATCAAATTGCAAACCTGAACACATTCAACATACTGTATGGAATGGAATGGGAGGTCAAGTAATCAACTATGACCACAATCTGTGTTCCGTGTGCTTATGATTACCCTACAGTGCCTTCCTTTTTAACATTTAACAGAATGCAAATCAAATAGAATTTCAAAAGAAAAAAAATAAGACAAAGATAATGAAAGTTCAATATGTATAGACAATATACAATTGCAGTTTTTATTTGTGGGATATATTGTAAGTGCTGTCCTAGTAGTACTGTAACATGACCATCATCAAAGCCTGAATCTGGAAAACATATTTGCACTGGGGTGCCTCCGTAAACAGCAGTGAGACAGGTCACTTTGGGAAGCAGGCATTTATGGTAAGTGATGCAGCAGGACACTTTGAATTGTTGGGAATTGTTTTCCATGTTCTCTCTATGGCTCGATTGGACACTAGTTATTGAAATATGCACAACCAGTATTCCAAAAGATCTAACACAATTAATTAATAACCACTAAATTATTAATTGAAGCACTTGCCACAGCCAAGCAGGAAAAATAACATATAATGAAAATAAACCAATGAGTGAAGCTGCACACAGGAGCGGCACTATGTACGACCATAGTAATATAATGCAAAGGAACAAGTAATAGGTTTATTCCATGCTGAAAAAAAGAAGAAAGAGAACACAACGTTTCGGCCGTGGAGCCTTCTTCAGGTGTGAGAGAGACAGGGCAGTAGGCCATAGTAATATAATGTACTATGCACTACTAACATTAATCCCTGTTAAGAAAAAGAATGTAGGCATTTCTGTACTGTGATTTTTTTTTTCTGTAAGGTATCGTTGAGCTATAGAACTTTTACTGTATCCATGGGCAGATATACTGTAAAATCAGTGCTGCTTATAGTAGTCAAAGCTTCACAACAAAGCAGGAAGATCCTTCATGTAGTTATATTTGTGGTTCGCAATAAAAACTTAGAACTTAATTTAGGGCTGTAGTTCAGACAACATCTCTGACTACATAGCGTTGTGTTGAGCACAGAGGATGAGCACAGAGGATGAGCACAGAGCACTTTATGACCCTACAGTGGGCCTTTCTGTCAGAAAATGCTAATCAGCAATCAGAGCTGATTTACCTCTTCTTACACCCCCTCAAAACCCTGCACTTGCACCGGAAGATTAACTGCCATCTTTACTTTTTCAGTCCGTTTTGAAAGTCCGTTTTCATGCGCTCCATCTTGCAAACTGCTTCAAACTAATAATAAACTTGGAATATAACATCCATTACCTGAACAATTATTTTTCAGTTTTAAGGTAGTTTGGCTGTTGTAAAGCCATAAATTCATAACTGTTACAAAAGAAGACGTTATGAGCCTACAGAAGGAAATAACTAGTTTGTTAGAAAACTAATAATTTTATTTTAGATATCCTAGGCATTAGTGGCTCTTACAGAAGGTGATTCTATAGTATACCATATAAATAAGTTCTTCTTTTAATTATTTGGCACTTTGGTCTATTTTTTCTAAGAAATCACTAGGTACTCTTAAATAAAATGTTATTGCATTTTTGCTGTTTTAAACGCTTTCTTTTTTTTTCAGAAAAACCCTTCTGCAAATTAGAATGACCTCTATCCTGTAAGAGGCATTTCCCCTTCTTCACCTGTGTCCTCAGAGGAGAGCTGTGCTTGGGGTTCAGGCTCTTGGATGAGCTGTGGGGGTACTGCCTTCACTGGGGTGGTGGATTCAGGGGTCTCAAACGCTCCTTCAGAATCCGAGCTCCTGAAATAGACAGGCAGTTTGAGTTCACTCTGCAGCTCTCTTCCATCACAGCACTGGAGCTGTAAAAATGTTTTATTGGGGGCTGTAGATATTAACATGTACTGCGCTTTCTGGGAGAGGGTATAAGTGCTGCATGTTGATTATCCAGCACTTATCAACAAGTAATGAAAGAAACGGATTCATCAAGCAAGAATGGACGACTGTCACACAGTCCCAGGATCACACGACATGCCTCCACCTTAAAAAAAGAAAACCTTTTAATATTTTATTCACATAATGTCCTCAACACATAAGCAACAATTGTAATTAATTGCAAGTGGACAAATAATTGACTACACATTAATATAGAGCTTTTAAATAATGCAGTTAAAAATGATTCTGTGGATATAAGACAATAGAATTGTTATGTTATTACAAGTCCCGTGCCCATCATGAAAAAGCCTTATCTTTTCAGTTTTCAATTCATGTTTCAGAAGGATTATTATAGAAAGAAATGGAAATGCTGATACTGCAATGTACAAAAACACAGAACCCAGCATGTTATTCATTACTATGCTACACTAAACTGCATTACAAGATTGACTTGCCTGAAGACTAATGCACAGTAATTCATAAGTACTATATTGCTATTGAGAACACTGAATTGCTGTGCAGTTGTATTGTCTTCAACAACAAAAATGCCCATAATTCGGTATCTCTTACTGCTCCCTTAACACAGCACACTGATTTCAAACTCCCTCTGTCCTCTCACACCAAGCTCTGCTTTAGTGTCTGTAAAGCAGCTCTCTCTAAGCCCCAAAAGCATGCATTAAAATATAAATTGCTATTTGACTGAATTGGAGACAACTGCCATCTAACACAGGTAATCAATGCATAGATTTTCCTGTCGATCAATACCGATTTCAAGTAAACCAACGTATAACCTGAAAAGTGCAGAGCTCAGCCCCATCTCACAGAGCATAGTCCTTGCTCCCCAAGCCCATTCTTGCCTTGTGATCCCTGTGAGCCTGTGCAGGAGTCTCCAGCTGTGGGGAGTGAGGGTGGCCCAGCCCCAGCGTGCCCACTGTAGGGGTGAGAGAGCCTGCCAGCTGCTGAGAGCCATGACTTCAGCTCAGGGACTCCACTGGCCTCTCTGTGTACTGCTGCTTGTCTGTTCAGTACACACACAGGCTCCAGTTCTGAGCAGTAACAGCTCTGCAGTCCCCAGCAGTGTACAGACACACACACACTCCAAGAGGTTTTCCTCTGCTCTTCCTGGGCTGACCGGTCAGCAAGCTTTAGAGCCTCTGCGAAGAAACTGGACACTCACAGGCCTGGGAGCCCCAGCTCGGTGGCTGTGATGAGATTGAGCTGCTCTCTCCGCAATGAATCCTAATGAGGACTCGGCATGCGGCTCCACTGTCACTGCACAGCGCCACCCACTCTTGAAGCTCTCCACCCCCTCCCACAACAGTGCGCTACTTGCACTGACACCTGGGTGCAGAGCATAAATACATCTCTCTTCTGTCTCAAAGCTCACCCACCAGGGGCAAAAACATCACTTAGTTACTGAAATAAACCATGCAAGTAGTTACTGTATAATGGGTTGGATTTCTGGTATTCTCCTATATGCCTTTTCCATTTTTACAAATACAGCACAACTATAAAGTTATTTTTCTTTGTGTTTCTTATCTATTGCTGCTTTATAAATCATTTTTGCCATAATTAGTTAGGACTATGTCATACAGTAAAGATAGCAAAGGTAGTTTGGATCAAAGCTATTTAGTAAAATATTGATTTGGTTTGTACTGCAGATGTCAAAGGCACAAAACCATAATTTCACAGGGCAGCAGCAATAAAATGGTAAGGAAGAGCAGAATGAGGTACAGGTCCTTTGATTTACAAAGCAACATAACCGGTAAAGAGAAGTAAAAAGTGTTCTAAAGGGTGATCAGAGCTGGTGAGCCTCTATGCTACAAGTCTCCTGGATACTGTCCGATACCAGAGAAGTAAGCGAGCAATAAATTATAGAAACGTCACTATCGATCAGAGCTGATAAAGACCTGCTATAAATGGATCACAAAAGCTTTGACCCACTTACTTTGTTTGTAGCTTTAATTTCCGAGGAGTTAGATAATGCCTGTCTTGGTGAAAATAAAAACACCCTGGAACATTATCAGCACCCATCTGAGTCTCTGAATGGGTCCAAGACCAAGACAAACACTCATGTGCTGGCAATAAAAATCCAATCTGTTCAAAGGCAACAAAATCAGTTTAAGCATCAAGGCATCTTGGGGCACTTAGTAATGGAGAGGGAGGAAAGGTCAAGCATCAATTTTGAGCCATCAGAAACAGAAAAAGGAGTGAAAGAAAGGATTTCTGAAAAGAGATCTGAACTGAAACTGGAGGTAAAGCAGGGAGTGGATAGAGTCGAGTATGAATTATGTATGGGAAGATGGTGCTCACCCAGAGAGCTGTGAGAACTAAATTCCAATTTTGGACAACAGAAACAGAAGGATACTGTCTGAGAATTCACATTGAGGTGACATGCCTGTTAAACAGCTACGCAGATACAGTATATGCTATGTTGGTGCTTATGATGTGTCCTTCTGAAATTGAATGTAATGAGCAATATTGTCTCCAGCCAACTGAAAACAATAATTAGTTAACCTCAAGATACAGATAGTTATAAAATATGGAAATAAAGCTGCACTTTATAAATAGTAAAGAGATTCTAATTATTATTCTAGATTAAACAATAGCAATTTATAATTTTTCTATTATTCTTTTGGTGGTGTTTCCAGAGCCATTCCTGCAAGCACAGAAGTTCCACAGAAAGTCCCTGCTGCAAAGAACAATGAGCAATATAATGGTTCATCTTATAAGGACTGTTCTAGCTGATGGCAGGCTGATGACAATGCTTCAGGGAAGCAGGAGGAAGAACTAATGCAGGGACCATTTGTTACAGCAAGAGAAAATTGCTCAGTGAGAGAACGGCAGCTCAGAGATATATACTTAATAATAAATAAATCTTGCTGCGCTTCCGGGTGGTGAAAACTTACTGCAGGCTGCATCCTGACCTAGACATTATTTTCACACAAGTCAGGACATTTAATCAGAGATTGCTAGTTTAGTTGTGGAGAACAGCTCTTTTTCAGTGCTATACCGATGAAAAGTTACAGAACGAAAACCGGTATCCTGAACCTCAAAGAGCAGAGCAATGGAAAAAGGCAGTGTCCTTCTTTTTCTTTATTTAGCCAAAATCCTCCACAGCCATTTTCTCCGCAGTAACAGCAGCGAGAGAGAGGTGAGCAGCAGTATTAAAATTAGGCATGAGATTAGCAGTATTCCCTGGGCTCCATGCTCATCCAGAAGATTGCTATGTTCATTTCCACGCCTGTCCTGTGACTCCTGGAGGTCTCCAGCGTCTCAGCTTGCCATATGAATTATGGTAGCAGGATTTCTGACAGACAGCAGGGTTTGTGTTACTAATCCACATTTCTAATTCCCTTCAACTTTACAGCACAATCCTGATTTACTATAAATGCCTCTCTTAGACATTCACAGGCTGGTATCAAATCCTATTGCTAATCATGAGCTTCATTTCCATAAGACCTGACAGAAATGAAATCCAGTCTCAAAAAATTATCTTTCTAATAAAAAAACATGCTTTCTAATAAAAACTTTAAAAGTGAAATTTCTATATGTATTTTAAAAAAAATACATAAGAAATATATATCAACCACAATTATTATCATTAAAAAATAACCACTACATCAAGAAAGCATCTTTGTAAAATGCAAAAGCTTCCATGTGCCTGTTGAACAGAAAATCTCCATTTCTCTATACAAATAAAGCCTTTTCATCAACTTGACAGTTTAATTTAGGAAAATAAATGTACTGTATGCTTTCTCATTGAAAATAAACCAACATATATATTTCTTTGATAAGATTTGATGAGTAACCAAGAAAGGTTTTTCTAATGTCTTCCTAAGACTTTTTTGTTTTGTTTTGTTTTGACAAGGTTTGGACAAGAGGGGTTGTTTTAATAATATTGAGGCACAGGGCTGACACCCACTGCGGGTAAAGCAATGCTATAAACAAGTGTTGTGATTCCTAATCTTTTGTTTCCTATTCCAGATTCATTGCTGGATTTTACCAAAACCATCTGGACAGGTGCTTGATCAGTTAATAAGGCGGCGCGGTGGCTCTGTGGTTCAGGATCTGCGCCTGTGGCTGGAAGGTTGCCGGTTTATATCCTGCAGCTAGCAGAGGAATCCTACTCTGTTGGGCCCCTGACCAAGGCCCTTAACCCCAACTGCTCCAGGGGTGTCGCATAAATGGCTGACACTGTGCTCTGACCCCAAGCCACTCTCTCTGTCTGTATGTCTCATGGAGAGCAAAGTTGGGGTATATGAAAAAAGACAAATTCCTAATACAAGAAATTGTATATGGCCAATAAGGTGATCTTATCTTAATAATGATCTCAGCTGTTTAATTATGAAGGTAGAAAAACTAAAAAAATTGTGTTGGAATGTATCTGAAGGCCTGGTGTTGGATTTACTCTGACTAATATGTATATATTGGACCTTTGTCTGTTTTACAAGGACCTGACACACCTATGAATAGAAACAAAGGGGTCTCCAACTACATGAAATACTTTTAGGTTTTTAAGAACAGTGGGCTCTTATAAAATACAGGATCTAGTTCTGGATAATTTAAGCTATTAATGTAATTAAAATTGGCTGATGAATAAAATTAATATAATATTAAAATATATGCCTTTTTTGATTGATCAGGACAATTTGCAAAGAATCCACAGTTCATACAATTTTATGTGTATCAAAGTACTAAACAATGGAGGACATCCTATTTCCTGTGCCATTTGTTACAAACTACATCCTTCTTGAAAGACTACCACTTTTTTATGAAAGAAAGGGATCTGAAAAGCATTAGGCCAAATGTGTACTGAAACAGCACAGTAACTCCAGGGCCAATACTCTGCAGACTAATAAGGGATG